CAATAAATAGTTACATAGTGCTGAAGCTAAATAAACATTGCAAAAATTTAAAATGTGGCATATATTAAGCTTATATTATACCAGATTAAACTGTACTGAAAGCTGTTAAATTACTTAAAAACATACAGAAAAGATACACAGTTGATTAAAGGATATTAATACAAAAATAGGAATGGTCAAAAATGGAAAAGGTATCAAAGGAGAATCTGGGTAAGGCATTTTATAAATGGAAGGACTATCTTGGCATGACCTTGGAACAAGGCCTCTGATGGGAATTTCATCATGGTCCATGTAGAATATATAGGGACTCTGCACCATAAGCCATTAAGGCCTTTATATGTCAAAACATGTCCAGTAAGTCAACCATGACCAAACAATATTTATTTATTGTTATACTATGTTCATATGCAATGTATTTAATTAAAATAAAAATAAAATGAATCATAGTATCACAAAAGATTAAAATGAATTAAATAATTGGCATAAAATATAGACAGTACAAAGGTGAGTTGAAAGGAGGAAAAACTATCCATGAAATTCATAGGAAGAAGGACTGGATGGACATATTAGTCTTCAACATGGACCTAAAAGATCTAATTGGAGATGGTTCCAATATTAAGGGAGGTAGAGACAAACTCACAAAGGATTCTTCAAGTAATAGTAGAAGCAGCAAGTTTCTATTAATGACTATCTTTCTCCATTGCATGATTTAAAAATAGATGCAACAGGATGACTAGCATTGGCTCCTAGCAATTTCCATAAGAGAACTGATCATTTTAGTGGATCTTCTACACCTGCAGGAGGGGATATATAATTTAAGTTTTAAATGTAGGATAATGTAACCATAGGGCCCATTTCTAATTAAATGAACCTTGGTAGCGCAGTGGTTAGAATACAGTACTACTGGCTACTACTGTTGACTGCCAACTGCCAGCAGTTCGGCAGTTCAATTCTCACTCAAGTTTGACTCGGCCTTCTATCCTTCCAAGGTCGATAAAATAAGGACCCAGATAGTTGGAGGCAATATGCTGATGATGTAAACTGCTTAGAGAGGGCTGGAAGGCACTGTGAAAAGATATATAAGTTTAAGTGCTATTGCTATTGCTAAATGACTTAGTGGTTAGTTGTCTTTAATTTTCTGGTTTCTTTTCAGAGGCATCAAACATGGAATTGTTGTTAATTGCAAAGTCGTGTCTGCCCATTGTGACCCCATGGACAATGTTCCTAGTCCTTCCTGTCCTCTACCATCTTCTGGAGTCCATTTAAACTCACGCCTACTGCTTCAGTGACTCCATCCAGCCACTTCATTCTCTGTCGTCCCCTTCTTCTATTGCCCTTAATCTTTCCCAGCATTAGGCCCTTCTCCAGTGAGTCCTTCCTTCTCATTAGGTGGCCAAAGTATTTGAGTTTCAACTTCAGGATCTGGCCTTCTAAAGAGCAGTCGGGGTTGATCTCTTCTAGGACTGACCGGTTTGAACGCCTTGCAGTCCAAGGGACTCGCAGGAGTCTTCTCCAGCACCATAGTTCAAAGGCCTCAATTCTTTGATGCTCAGCCTTTCTTATGGTCCAACTTTCACAGCCATACATTGCAACTGGGAAAACCATGGCCTGGACTATACGCACTTTTGTTGGCAGGGTGATGTCTCTGCTTTTTAGTATGCTGTCTAGATTTGCCATAGCTTTCCTCCCCAGGAGCAAGCGTCTTTTAATTTCTTGGCTGCAGTCCCCATCTGAGGTGATCTTGGAGCCCAGGAAAATAAAATTTGTCACTACCTCCATTTCTTCCCCATCTATTTGCCAGGAATTGAGAGGGCCGGATGCCATGATTTTGGTTTTCTTAATGTGAGTTTCAAGCCAACTTTTGCACTCTCCTTCTTCACCCGCATCAAGAGACTATTTAGTTCCTCTTCACTTTCTGCCATTAGAGTGGTATCATCTGCATATCTTAGGTTGTTGATATTTCTCCCGGCAAACTTAATTTCAACTTTTGATTAATCTAGCCCTGCCTTTCTCATGATGTGCTCTGCATATAAGTTAAATAGGAAAGGCGACAGTATACAGCCTTGCCGGACTCCTTTCCCAATTTTGAACCAATCAGTGGTTCTGTGTCCAGTTCTCACTGTTGCTTCTTGACCCGCATATAGGTTTCTCAAGAGATAAATAAGATGGTCTGATATTCCCATCTCTTTAAGAACTTGCCACAATTTGTTGTGATCCACACAATCAAAGGCTTTAGCATAGTCAAAGCAGAAGTAGATGTTTTTCTGGAACTCCCTAGTTTTCTCCATGATCCAGCGTATGTTGGCAATTTGATCTCTAGTTTACATTCAAGCAATTAAAGGACGCAAAGTCAATTGGATGCAGACCAATTTGGGTCAATGTACAAAACTCTACCTACATGGAGTTTTGTAATCTAATATCCAGAACAACATGAAGCCCCTCAAAGCTTTATGTATGGACCCCAAAGCTGCTTTGGAAATTGCTGGTAAATTATAATGCAATGAGACATAAAGGAAATTTTTTTAAATACATGCAAGAACAATTGTGGTATATCATTTTAAATAATATAACTAAATTTGAATTTAAAGTTAATAATTTTTGCTTTCAACTTTCCTCATGAACATCATCACTCAATTTTTGGAATATAGCCTTCACAGGCCCAATGTAAAGATAATGCAGTAATGTAGATTTTGTTCCTATTCAACAACACCATTCCATCTGCTCAGTGTCATCCAGAGGCGCTTTCCTAGGTGGCTAGCCGATTAATGAATCAGCTGTATCAGACTGTCCACTCGAAGTTAAAACCGCCAAGATTCTGCTGTGGTATACAAAAATTTTCCAACATGAACTGTAATTAATACAGAGTACAAACCAGAAGGTAATTATTAGGGAGTTTTTCTATGTATTTGGATATATTTCAGTTTGTTTCTCTCAAATATAGACAGAGTGCTCAGTGAGATATGCTTTGTTTGCATCACAGTTGGTGTAAGAAAATTTTGGGTACATTTGGCAAATTCAAAAACATTGTTAGTTCTATTATATAAAGAAGTAATAAGTTTCCTCCTAATGAAGCAATTTCTGTCCTTCTTAACAGTGGCTGCAAAAATACTCATTATCCCTCCTCCTTCCTTGATACAACAATAATCCTTTCAGCCCCTTTTTCCACTTTTTTTCAATCATCAAATTCAGAAATCTCAATTTCACTTTTGTCCCCCATTTTCAGCAAACAGTTCATAGAAGATTTTGAGGCTCTTATAAAGGTACTTGTTGCTCTGTTCCCTAACCAGCTAATTCTACCATCTTCGCAATCCACTCTTCTATTGTGGATATTTCAACATTTCTCTATCTTTGTGCAAATAATAATCTTGCTACAGTTATCATATAGAAAACCAGTCTCCCATAAGTGTTTTTAATTGACTATCCATCAGTCCCAATAAAAAGAGTTCTGGTTTCATCTCAATATTCTATTTAAAAGTCTTTGTATCATATATATACTATGTCAGTTATACCCCCCCGATGGACAAGGCATTTGAAAAAAACTTCTAGAATTTTGTTACTGTATTTGCTTATTGCAGCAAAAATTATTTATGCACAAAAATGGTTAGGTATAATAACCCCAAAATGCAAGAATGGATAGAAAAACTGAGATGGCTATATTAACTGTTTTAATTAAAGATGTTTTCTTTTTCCCTGACCCCATACTTCTCTTTCCCTTCCTTTCCTTCTCTCATTTCCCTATTATCTTTATTTCATTTGTATTTTATATTATGACAATTTCTATAAAATTATATAAGTTATGCCATCTCCTCAAAAAGAAGGCTGTATTCACAATTACTGTGGCTTTAGTTATTCAGTTGCATTACTGCAATGCATTCTTCACAGAACTATCCTTGAAGGCCATTTGGAACCTGATCCACAATGCATAGCTCAATCATAGTGCCCCTCAATGTGCCCATATAACACTGGCGCTTTGGGAGTTAAGATGGCTAGCAATTGGCTTCTGGGAGCCATTCAAGGTGTTGCTTAACATCTTTCAAATCCTTCATAGTTCGGGACTTGGATATCTATGGGACTGGACATTCTCAATAAGACCTGCCTATCTTAAGTAGGATAGGCTCTCTTCATGCCCTATCACTCATAGATTGTAGATGGATGCTTTCTTTATTGCTACCCCCTCCATTGGAATAGCAGCTCCTGGGACATTCAAATTGCCTCTTCCCTTTTGCTAATGGCCTTGGGGTGGTGGTGGTGGAACAATTGTTCTCTCTAGCAATGGAAGCTATTTTAACTATAGCTTGCTTGAGTGTGATTTATTCCTATGGTCTCATATATGTCATTTTATCAGTTGTATTTTGTATTCTGCTTTTGTTTTATTCTGAATTATAGATGAGAAATTATATTCCATTCAAGCCAGTTCTGACTGAAGCGGCTTATGCATCCAGGACAGATGGACAGACAGACAAATATAAGTGGTATAGAAACTTAATAATGATTAATTTACTTAACATCCACTTCTGAAATTAAGATTAGAACTGAAGGCTAAACATTATTATGAAATAAGTTTTACTTAGTGTCCGAAAAGTATACATAGAATTACACTGTCAACACATTCAATTATGTCAGCTGTTACTTGTATTTTCACAAAATAAGTTCCAGTTATGTTACAACTGACATGAAACAGAAAAAAATCATCTTGTTTGTAAGAGCTATAAAACTCAACTGGAATGTTAAATATTTGACCATTTTAAAATATGAACATTAAATGCCCTTGCAAAAGATTGAATACTAATATATTTTTCTTGGATTTTCATTGAGTAAACAATCGAATGAACATAAGAACCGGTACTGACAAGGAAGCAAGCATAGTTTGATGGTCAATGCTAAAAATAATGTTCAACCATCCCCTCAAGTGAAGGAAATTCCTACCACACCTCAAACCAAAAATTAGAGAAGGAGAGTTAAGCCACATAATTTCACCAGAGTAAAATTACACCCTTACTTGTATAATCTATTCTGTTCAACAAGGAATACTTCATTCTCCAGAACCTTTTGCAGCAAATTATACTTCATGAAATGCTTATATCTACAAGATAACTCTTATACCTTGAGGGCATCACCTTCTAGAATCCCTGGTATATTCATTGGCAGAAAACTACCAAATTATCTTCAGGTAGGAAATTATTTGTTTTTAAAACTTCTATTAACTCTGTGGTAATGTTCCTTCAATTACTACATTTCAAATCCAATTTATCTACTTATATAATGTTATTTTTAATAACATATAACTTTTAAAAGGATGTACCTTATAATAAACATAAATCCTTTGTAAATTTGTCTGACTTTTGCATGAATTAAGAACAATGTATGGAGACTTCTTAAGATAAAAGACTTCTTAAGATTATTTTTCATAGGTTTGGTAGAAAACAGATTGAACAACAGTAAAAGAAAACAATACTGCAAATTTCCTAAAAGTTAGTTAGATGGAATCCTATCTTCTCCTGTGCCAGCACTAATGTAGATCTGAATCTGCTGCCTAGTGTTCGGTTGCAGCACTATGACACCGCTATTTTTCCAGTTCTCTTAAGCCATTATTCCAGGAAGTCCGCCTATTGCTCAGCTGCTTCCAGAACAGACTTTGGAGAGAACAGGAATATACTTCAGAAGGTGAAGTATACAGGAACATGTGTTGTTTGTGTTGGTTCACTCATCTAATACAGGATACTGCTTTAGTTATAAAGATAACTTACTGAAAGCTATTAGCCTATTATTTAAGAGTCAATGACTTCATTTAGTGGTTTATACTCAGATCTAATGGTTCATATTCTTAAATCAATGTTGCACTTTTCCAATTCTTTTGGTAAAGCATTTCATTTTTTGAAAATCAAAGTAAATATTTAATTTTCTCAATAATGTGATTAAAATGAATTCAATAAACAAAAAATCTAGGTAAGAAGAAAAGGAAAACAATGCCAGCGAAAATATTTCCTAAGTCTCAGGATACATGAAATACATATTATAAACTTTTATAACAGAAGGTTTAGAGCCTGTTCTGATTTACAAATATGAAAGAGTATACTTCATTTACCTACAATTGCATGGAACAGAATTTATTCAATATAAGTGAATGTTTATAAATGAATATATCTTTATCCTCAATCAGTTCTGCTTAGAAACTTTTGCTCTTGTTTTTTTTATTTGGGAATTTGCTTGAATATCAAACAAATCTATTATCTGAATTAGGCATAAATTATTACCTGTTTAGATTATTTTTACATGTTTTCTGTGTTGATTTATCATCTAACACTAACATTGTCAGGCAACAAAGTCTTATACTTCATATATAAGCAAGTATTGGTGCTCGATATCATATATGCAAAATTTCAACTTGTAAATATTGATCTTGACTTGACATTTACTGATTTATAGAACACAATTCTTGTATAATATTTAGTCTGTTAGCTATGGTTGCTGTTTTGGCCATCATTATGCATTCTCTTTCCCCAAATTTACTGGAAACAATCAATTAATTTTTTACTCAGTTTATGAGACTAACAAGTAATAATATTTTTACTGTCAGTGGTAATTATACTGCAATAGTTCTTTCAATTTGTTTTATAGGATAATAACAACTTATTTTAAATGGAAGGACAGTTAAAGAAAAAACAATTTCTTTTACTTCTGAATCTAAGGAACGATATTTATCTAGGTTTCCCAATTAATTCTATGTCTTTTCATTCTTATGCTTAAATAAATTGCTAATACTTTTTTTACTAAAAAAATACATTACTAAGCAACAGCCAATAACTTAATAGCCAGTCATCAACACCTCAATCAACAACTAAAAAGCTGCACACAACCAGGCACAATATAAATATCACACACAGAACAGCCCAAAGCACACACTCTGCTAGAGAGAAGTTCCCTGAGGGTGGGCTCCAGCTCCAGTAGGAAAGCTCGGAAGACAAAAACCTCTGGTCTCGGTGACTGACCCAGATTGGATCCTGCAACATTATCCAGGGACCCATAGATTCACTTTCATTCATATCTAGCCTCTAGTTGAAAATCCCTAATGATAGGGAAGAAACCACTCCATGATGTATGTGTTTTTCTACAATGTGGCTCTCTATAAAAGGGAAGCAAATCAGACTGCAGAAACAATTGTAAGGGAATGTGTGGATGACCTTGTGGAAGAGATGCTGTCTAGGAAACCAACAGACAAGTGAAGTAGGAGTCCCCAGTGGCTTAAGAGTTAGGGAGGACCTACCCCAATTGCTCAAATGGTTAAAAGTGATGGCAGAAAGTTTCTAGTTTTAGACCTGCAAGGTTCTGTTCACATAACTTCATAAAAAAGTAGAATTAGTTCCAGTAGTCGTATTTCCTGTCTGGCTTACCTGGGAAGGCTGACATGATGTGCTAGACTCTGTGCTTTCAGATTGGGCTGCAGAGCCACCAACAGGTCCAGAGATGAACTGCATGCAGCGTTTGTCTTTGAAGCCAGAGGATTGCCATATTATACTTTAAAACACGCATGTCAAACTGCATCATACTGAAACCGCGCCCACCCCATTGCTGGCAATAGGGAAAAAAATCGCAATACGTAGCACAACATCACAAGTTTGACATGCCTGCTTTAAAGCATTAGCCATTTTTCACTGGCAAAGAAATTCCAATGGAACCACAGTAATCAATGTCTTATTAAGTTAACACCAATGTTTACAATATGAAATATAATAATTTATGCTATTAAGTTGAACATTCATATTGGATAATTTCAACTGAAGGAAGAGATCAAAATAGACAATGGGAAAATGTATATACAGAGTCCTAAAATAAGGTAAATATATGTGCCTTATCTTTTGTATGCCACTAAGCACTAACAAATCTTTTTAATGCTACAGTGTTTAGCTAAGTCTACTGAATGTTGTACTCATGCAAGCTAAATGCAAACAGAAAAAAGAATTTTAATTCCAAACTTAGGATGATTTTAAATCTTAAATATGTAGAAGTGTTAGCTCCTAGACAAAACAAAGACAACATTGTTCTGTTAATTATATAATACCAGTATTTCCTTTGTTATCAACTTTTTAATGTTAATATACTTAATTTGTTTTCTTCTTTCTGCAGGATAAACATGCAGACAATGAATGTGGCAAAACCAAATCAACTGTTAACTATTTTTTTTCTCTTTGAAATGTCAGTATTTGGTCAATATGAGAGTGATGATTTTGAGGATGAATACGAACATGAAGTAGATAGTGAATATCCATCTATTTTTCATCAAATTCCTCATGTAGAATATAACATTCCATACTCCACCATACCTGCTGAGTGTGCAAAAGAATGCTTCTGTCCATCTACTTTCCCAGCATCCATGTACTGTGATCATCGCAAGCTTCTGACAATACCAAAGATTCCTGCTCACATCCAACAACTTTATCTGCAGCATAATGAGATTGAATCTGTGCCTCTGGAATCCTTTGTTAATGCCACAGCTTTGAAAGAAATTAATCTTAGCCACAACAAAATCAAGTCTCATAAGATTGACAATGATGTATTCGTCAAACTCGCAAACCTCATACAACTTCATTTAGAGTATAATCAGCTAGAAGAAATTCCATTCCCATTACCTGGAAGCTTAGAAAGGTTGATCCTGGGTTTCAATCAAATTTCCAAGTCAGACAGCAAAGCCTTTGAAGGTTTAATACATTTAACAATGCTTGACCTCTGTAATAATTATCTTGAGGATTCCCAGCTCAAAGGAATAGACTTTTCAAGTATGAGAAACCTAATGCAGATTAACCTTTGTAACAACAAGCTACAGTCTGTGCTTCCAGATCCACCACCTTCACTGATGTATCTTTCACTTGAAAATAATTCCATTTCTTCCATTCCAGATAATTACTTCCACAAGCTTTCAAATCTTACTGTTTTAAGAATGTCACACAATAATCTTGAAGAAATTCCTTATAATGCTTTTATGCTCTCTAATCTTCTGGAACTTAATCTTGGGCACAACAAATTGAAACAAATTTTCTATATTCCAAGAACCCTACAACATTTATACTTAGAAGATAATGAAATAGAAGGTTAGTTAATTGCTTTTATAAATGTAGTTTTTCTAACATTTACCTTTACTTGAAATATATTTAATACACTACAATATGTGTATTAGTGAATTAGTTTTTAAAAGGTTCTTATACTAAATGCATGTGGTACTAAATTAGCTAGCAACCATATGGAATTTTAACTAGCATATTTAGATATGGGAAGAAAACATGTAGGAATTACGACCCAATTAATTTCCCATGTTGCAATTAGCCTTTTGATTAAAAGATACACAAGCATGCCAAATCCTTAGGATCTGTTATGCTAAAAAAAATGGCCATAATTTCTCAAACCCTTAGTTTAGATTTTATTTGATGCTGGGTTTTTGTCCCATATCAATGATTGAGGAATCTAGATTAACAGAATGGTGGAGACTGAAAAAAAAAAAACCAATTTCAGTTTAAGTAAATCAACAATGATAGAAGCTTTCTGGTTATTGGTTTTGTTCTCATAACAGGAAAACATTACTTTGGAATATCTTGCAAGAACCTATTTACTTTAATAAACATTGTTTTTGTCTTTTTACAGTCATGAATGTTACTTTAATGTGTCCTACTATTGATCCGCTGAACCTCAAACATTTAACTTACATACGAGTGGACCAAAATAAGCTTACAGCTCCAATCAGCACCTATGCATTCTTCTGCTTTCCACTTGTGCGTAGCATTTATTATGGAGAACAAAAAATTAGCAAAGATCAGCAAACACAACTGAGAACCCCTGTGTTCCGAAGATTTCTAACTCCAGAAGAATTTGAAGAAGCAGAAGATTTTCATGAAGAACAAGATAACAGTCATGATCACGAATCCAGAGAAACTGACAATAACAACTACCTGGATCCTTACTTCTATTAACAATTTTAAAAGGTAGTAATACTATTAAACAAACAAACAAAAATATCAAGTATAAAAGAAAACGTAACAAACTGGAAAATGCAGTAAACCACCTGAAGCCAATCAATATAATTTTGTAGCATATAGAAACTATTTTTACATAGAAAATCTCAATAGCCATTAAAATCTTAGATTTTAGATCTTCAAACTATTAATAGCAGACTATGAAGACATTTTAAATATCATAGAAACATTTAGGTGAAAAAAACAAATGCAATGACAATGTTGTTTGTATAATTTTGATATGGTAATGATAATGTCTAAATCCTGATATATTTAAAACTGCAATATAACAGACTAATGTCATCTAAACTACATCTTATTTTTAGTTTGAATAAATAATTAGATTAGGCTTGCAGCAAAACCATTGCAATACTAGATTTAAAAATCTCTTGGTATTTCAGTTATCAAGCATTAAACCATTATGGTTTATGCATGTAGGTATGTGTCTGTGTATAAACTTAATATTCGTGAAAAAATTCATATTTTGCCAAATTCACTTCATAAATATGAAATTATTCAGGGAGCTATCCACTGTCAGAAGAATAAATTGAAGTTAATACTATACTCAAGTGAAACAGATGGTGAGTAGGTAATAATTCACTTAAAAAACATAAATTGAATCCAAAGATGTTTAATTATAATATGAATAATAAAAAGATCAGCCATCTTTTCAGTTGACAGGACATTCAAACATAAAATGAAAACTGACTAAAATCAAATTTCACATAATTTTACTAATTTTATTCCTTACTATCTTTACCTACTAATTTTACAAAGATACTTTACTATCTTTGCTCTCTCGTGAAAAATAATAAAACATTCATCCTGCTGCAAAACATTTCAAGAGATTTTGTCTCATTATCATCATCACCTATATTATTTTATTTTATTGCCTACAGGCATTATTTACCTTTTGCGTTACATAAAATCATTGTTGATGTCATGAGTACCACCAATCGTTCACTTGCTACAAAGTACATTTCAAGTACATTTAATGAGTAACTTATGTTTGTTACAGAATATAAATTATTTAGAATGCAATATACATTAATGAAACTATCACTAAACAATACACAGACATATATTGCAACATAGGGCAAAAATCATCACACTTGGCTTATATTCACTTCATCAACAATACAAGGCTATTGTGGTATTTTAAATCAACATTCACATTTATTTTGCCTTCATATATGGATTTTAATCAGATAGGTAACAATAAATATTTAAATATATATTGTGTTTATAAAGGTATAAGATGTTGCAAATAAATTATAATATGATTGAAATATAGGTGGGTTTTTTTGCCAGCAAATTACTTTACCTCTGTATTAAATTGGGATATCGATAAAAGATGGAATTTCATTTTGATAATCTTTATTTTCCTTTTCTAAATACTAAGCATAACATTGATCTTTTATTTTCCACATATTCCCCAACATTTGAAAATAGAAAATCGAACATATGATCATTAATTTCCACTAAATGAAAACCCCATTATTATCACTCTACATGTACTGCTTACACAGGATATTGGAACAGTTGAACCAAAATTTTAGTTTTCAGCAAAATTTTATTACATGTAGGAGGAATATCACCAAATTTGCCATCTATAAAAAGGCAGTATTTTCATAAACATGTAATGTTTAAATAATTCCAACAAAGTTTAGATATTTTGCAACTGCACAATTTTTTAATTCATTTATTCTTTGAATGTACAGTATAGTAAAAAATAAAAAAATGCATATTCCCTAGAAAACAATAAATATTTTCTTAATATTCATGTAAGTATGATTCAAACCCAGCATCTTCTGAAAGTACAGGTAGTCCTCAAGTTACGACTACAATTGTTCAAAATTATGTTGCTGAGTGAGAAATTTGTTAAGGGAGTTTTGCCCCATTTTCAACTTTTCTTGCCACATTTGTTAAGTGAACCACTACAATTGTTTAGTAACATAGTTGTTAAGTGAATCTGGCTTCCCCATTGACTTGGTTTGTAAAAAGGTTGCAAAAGAGGATCACGTGACAGCTGTCATAAATACCGGTATGAACCAGTTGTCAAGCATCTGAATGTAAATCACATGACCACAAGGATGCTACAACAGTCATAAATGTGAAAAATTGTCATAAGTTACATTTTTCAGTGCAGTTGTAACTTCAAATGGTCACTAAATGAACAGTTGTAGGTCAAGGACTACCTGTACTTGCAACTGAGCCCAATTTATCAATTTTAGAAATGTTGATAAACCAATCTGCTAAGATTTTTATTTTTATTTATTAAATAAAATTCTATGCCACCCACCTCACTGATACATCAACTCAAGATAAAGTGGATGATATAGTTAGGGGCTCTGAATATGAAAAGTTATTAAAACTCCTCTTCAACATCTTTGAGAATAAGGTATTAAATTTGCCAGTATCGACACCCATCACCTGAGGCAGAGATTATGTTAGAAAAATATAACATCAAATCATCTATTTGCAGAAATTCTCATAGCAACAGTTGAAAGTTTTGGAAGTATCCTTCCACCACTTTGTATAACCCCCAAGAGATCTTTCTCTGGTTAACAAAGATTGAATTAAGAGGCTGCAACAGGAGACACCTCAGAGAATAAATTAGATCAGGGATCCACAGTACACACTTGTTTTATCATCTACATCAGGGTGTCCCAGCAGGGCAATTCTGGGAGTTGAAGTCCATAAGTCTTACAGTTGCCAAGGTTGGACACCTCTGGTCTATATCCAATGTCAAATTCTCAGGTGAGTCTCCACAGAAGCAAAACCAATATAAGTCAAAGAAATATGTTTGGTATAAATTTAAAAACTTAAAACATGATTCTCATAAATTTTAATGGAATTACATCTAGCCCATTATCTATTGTGTTTCCCTGAAAATACAATCTGATCTTATTTTATTTTTTTGCCTCCAAAAGAGGCACCAGGTCTTATTTTTGGGGGATGTCTTTTCCATGGTCTCACCTCGCAGTGGCAACACCGACAGCCCCGCCAAGCCAGCCCAATTCCACTGCAGCTGCTTGCCACTGATCGCATGCATCTCCTTGTCTCCATTTTGCTGTCAGTGCCTTCAGGAAAGGCCTCTGGCAGCTGAGAACCAAGCTCTGCATTGACGCACACAGTGCTCCCTGGCCTCCATTTCACCGTCAAGGGCCTTCAGGAAATGCCTCTGCAGCTGAGAATGGAGCTTAAGATTGACATGTGCGGCACTCCGCCCCCAGCCTCCAATTCACCCTCAGAGGTCTTCAGGAAAGGCCTTTGTAGCCAATAACTGAGCTTTGGATTGACACGTGTATCGCCCCCCGCCTCCATTTTACCATCAGGGGCCTTCAGGAAATTCCTCCGCAGTTGAGAATGGAACTCCGGATTGATGTGCATGATGCTTCCCAGCCTCCAATTTGCCAGAGGGCATTGCGCATGTCAATCCGGAGTTTGGTTCTCGGCTATAGAGGCCTTTGATGGCGAATTGGAGGCTGCAGGGCACTGTGCTCATCAATCCAGAGCTCCATTCTCAGCTGCAAAGGTATTTCCTGAAGGCCCCTGATGGTGAAATGGAAGACGGGGGTGACATATGCATGTGAGTGGTGGCAAGTGGGCCAGTGAGGCAGGTGTCAGGACATGGGAGGCCTGGCTGCAATGGTAAGAGGGTGCAGGGCCCATGGGGTAGCTCCACCCCGACCCTAGCTTGATTTTTAGGGTGTATAAATTAGGGTTTAATTTTGGAGTAAGGCTTATATTAGGCCCACCCTAAAAAATCAATCTAGGGCTTATTTTCAGGGTAGGTCTTATTTTTGGGGGGAACATTGCTTAGCATCTTGGCTATAAATGTGTAACTAATGAAACTAATGAATCTAATAATAGTGGAAGCCTTTTCACCACTCATTGTATCTTTTAAAATGTGCGGTTTTTAACTGGTGGAAAATTAAAAGTGGATACCTAAATATTTGAAAGATTTGTGCTTTATAATGGAATAGTATGAACAGCCTAGTCACTGCGAATCAGCATAGCTTTTCTGGGATCTCCTTTAAACAATGAGTATATAAACAAAACAAAACAAAGCCAAAAGATGGAATGAGATCATTATGAGAATGCAATTGCAATTGTTTTTCTTCCCTCAACCAACAATTAAGGTGTTGTTATCATCTTAAGCCCTCCATGGCACAGGACTGGGTTATTTCCAACAACATTACCCAATCCCATTCATTATTTTGGGTAGGTACATTTTAGGTCCCTTCCCTGAAACAATGCTTTTTCCATGTCCTGTGAAATGATCCGCCCACATCTCTTCCAATGTTTGGCTGGCCCTGATCTTGTTGGCCTTCAGAAAGTTTTTAGTAACCTGAATATTTCCCTAGATGCTAGGGCTGGAATAATTGTTCCTATCGAAAAGCAGGTATGAACATGGTTGTCTGAGTTTTCATTCAATCTTTCTCTTGTTTTCTTGGCCGTTGTAAGTCACCCAAAGCAGCAGTGTACAACCCAGGCAGCCAAATACCTACTTTAAATAAACGAACAAACAAAACTTCTTATAAACTGCCTCAATCTGTGCACTAATAGTGACTAAAATGTAAAATTAAGCTTACTCTGACTGAAGTGTTGCTTATTAACTCATTCCTTAGAAAACATGCTGAATATGGACATTCTCAGGTCCTTAGCCAGTGATGGCAAACCTTTTAGAGACTGAGTGCCCAAACTGCAACCCAAAACCCACTTATTTATCAACGGGTGCCAGGTAGGCATGGCTGTGGTGATCATGGAAGACCGGGTGGGTGTGGCCTAGGTGGGCATGGTCACCTTAATGTTGCTTATAGGGAGGGATGCCATGGGGGCCGGGCAGGGTTCGGGGAGATCCAGGGGGTCTCTGGCAGGTGGGGCAGTGGGAAGGAGGCTTGTCCTGCGGGGTGAGGCGAGGCAGGGCTGGGGTGCCATTGTCGCAGGGCAAGGTGAGGCAGGGGCCAGGGCAGTTGCTGCCTGACACCATCGGCCCCCGCACACAGAGGCCACCGAGTGCATGGGGGCCAACCGTGTCTGTCAGCATCCACAGCCTGCCGGCCCCTCAACTGGCGCACTCTGGGGCTCTGCAGCCCGCCACCAGAAGTTCAGAGAAGCTGTCTCTCAGCTGGGCAGATGGCCGACAGCTGAGGAGGCAATGCAGTGGGTCGTGCCCGGGAAAAGGAGAGCATGTGAAGCCAGGAGGGATGGGACAAAGGGGAGGGAAACCAGCCATGCTGGGATGCATCTGGCCATGTGGGACCTCGGTGAGTTAGCAGGCAGCTGGTTGAAGAGGGACGGTTGCCATCTCTGAGGCATGGCGGGCGTGCCCATAGAGAAGGCTCCGACTGCCGCCTCTGGCACGCGTGCCATAGGTTCGCCACCATTGTCCTAAACTAAGGGTGCATCAATTTTAATAGATGGAAACTACATTTACTGATGTTTTTCCAGTTAGGTACTGTGACTCCATATCTTCGAAATGTGAGAAGAAAATATTAGCAGGAAAGAAAGTATAGCTTGCAATAAGGAGGGCGGGATGGGAATTTTTCTTCTCTGAATACTGGCTTTGAATATGTTTGTTTCCATTTTTCCAGACTTCATATTTAAGTGAAAATATAACATAAAAAATAGAGATTATATTCAATAACCCCTGAATTTACTAAATAGAAGACAGAACAGATGACAGAACTCTAAAAAGTCTTCATATGCATTAATATTCAAAACCAGGAAAAGACCCAAAAGATTGTGTAAACATAATGTGAACCGATTCCAGTTTTGCATTTAACAACACTCTCTCAGTCAGCACAGTGAATGGAGAGAACACAAAAGAGCACAAATTGTAAACCAACAGATGTGCTATTATCCAAAGCATCCAATTCCAACTGAGAGGGTGTTTCAGAACAAACAGCTGGTTTCTGAACTCTGACTTTTGTAGAGCAGTAAGATGTGTATAACTAAAAACCTTCAGGATAGCTGTTGTTTTAAAAAGCTCTCTAAAGTTAAGAAATACAAATCTAAGCTGATATTTTTTAGCAGAACTGTCAAACAGAAGAATGTAACAAAAATCAGTAAATCTGTGCACATCCAGTTCTTATTAATCTTCATTGCCTATGTATAAAACAGTAAATGTTTTGAAATAATGTTTTATACAGTAGTAGAACATCTCAAAAGATTTTCACTGAAATCCTTTATAATGCAAACTGCTTCTCCTAAACATTATATGTTCAATGAGTATTTTTCATTGTTTACTTATTTTTCACTGTTTTTTGTAATGATCTATTAAGATTGGAATGCTGGCCAGTCTTCCAAAAAATAAAAGTAATTAACTCTAACACTGCTGAAGAAAGACTTCCAGAAGGTGAATGGAAAACAGTATCCACCAACTCATGTTTTAAAGTTTATGCTGCAAACTTAAAAGTTTTGTAACTTTTTTCCTACACATACAAAAATGGAATGCTTATGCCTTATCTGAAACGGAAGTCACTTTCTTTGTTTTTCATTAAATGCTAGACTAAATGAAAAGCATATGACCTTGCTGAAGTCTTTACTGCATGAAACTGCAGCTGATCTAGGAAATGCTTTCAACTATGAGCAACTAGATTAACATATTTTAAACTGGACTCATTCCATTTTGTAGCAGAGCAAAGCTGATTTATCATGTAACATTTTGCACATAAGTCTGCATGCTAATACAACTCTTTTTACCCTAAAGGCAGTACATCTAAACTCTATCCATCTTTGAAACTGCATTATTTCAGTTTCTTGAAAATAAACCATAACTTTTCTCTGGCCATTTGGAATTAATGCACAGAAAACTATATTGAAAACAGACGCACAAGAAGACTTATTCAGCAAAACGGTAGGTGTTGTTTTCCAATAAATTATCTTAATGTATACCACATGGTTACATTACAAGTTACTGTAAAAATATTTTGACTATATAATACATTATCTGGAAACTATAATCAGTATGGCTTTCTTGAATTGTATGCATGTGTGCTTTATGTTTAAAATATGCTTTTATTCATTTTATGCGCATTTCAATTTCTACTTTTCTGAAAAGCATAGAACCTTAAGACAATACAAACTATAACTTTCACTCCAGGGATGGGCTTAGCTTGGCTCTACTTTTTAACTATTTCTTCACTCTATGTATCAGATCTCAAAATATGGGGTTTCAATTACTTCTAACTAGCGTGCAAAATCAGAAATTAGAAGAATTGGAAATAATATCAACTGTGTATATGTTGTTATGCTGTGTAGTACCAACATTTAAATAATAGAAGAATTTAAATAAAGAATACTAAGAGTTAAGTCATCTTTCCCTGTTCCCTGAGCATTAGAAAATTGCTGCCAGCTACTCTTCTAGGGCTTTAAATATTGTTCTGACAGATTGCTTTCCTTGTTTCCAGTTTCCTTGGTTCTTTCAGCAAAACTCAAGTCTGAGCTCCTGAAATGAAGACTTCACAGAAATTTTATCTCTTCTGTTTTTTAATGCCCTTGGTGAAGTTAGCACCACCTAATCAACAATACTCAACCCTATTTCATGAAACAGTACAGCAAGGTTATGAAGATGCATTATTTCAGGAAGATTATGAAGACTATCCACAGGACGGGGTAAAAAATAAGGTAGTTGACAAGTTCTATATTCCTTTTTTCCACTCTGCCTGTGTAGAAGTTAGTCCTGCATGCATGTTTCATGGCTAAATATAGCAGCCAATAAGGGGGGAGGGGAAAGCAAGGAGATACAAAAAATAATAACATAATAGCTATATATTATTGTTTTATATTGTATGCTTTATTCCTTTATCCTTACCTAATCCACCTACCTGTGCTTATAGAAATATATAATATGGCCATGAACTCAGCTTAAATTTGTCTCAAACTATAATTATTGCTTTGTTCCTAATATACACAATAATGTTATGTATCACTGCAAGGAATTATCAGGGTTCTCTTGTACACCAAACATTCAGATTGGTCTCCTGAGAGTCATAATTGAGGGGACCTGCTGCTATTAATTAATTTTTTGGCCTGAGAAAGTCATGAACTAATTCCCCAACAGCATATAGGAAATATATTTAATAATGAACTACTTCATGTGAGGCAAATTAAAATAAATGCATATTAGGTGTATGTATTTGCAATGTGATCTTTATTTATTATTTATTGAGACTGAAAGAGAATATAACGCAAGCTGCATTAATTCAGTTGTCTTTGAGTAAGAATAAATAGAGTAATTAATACTGAATTAACCATACAATAGTCTAATCTTAATCAACAGAATTATGTTATCTACCCATTCACAGTATATCTAGGTAAAAATTTTGAGTTTATTGAGCCAATATTGATGATTAGTCAATACCAAGAATAGACTTAGAATTTATAATGTGTGGAGAGAACATGTTCAGTTGAAACACTTAAAAATTAAAAACATATATTAATTCTTTCAAGGGAAAGCAATGTACTGATTAATATATCCAAATTGCTTTTCATTCCTTGAGAATACCTTCAGAATAAATATTTGCTATCATCTAAAAAAAGTAAAAACACTAATAAATCATTGACTTGGCAATCCCTGATTTGAGGGATTGCCTGCAAATCAGTATTAACTCCTGATGAGTACCTGAATTACTCCCTGCAGGTTTCTTAGTAAGATTTTCAGAAGTGGTTTGCCATTGCCTCCTTTCTAGGGCTGAGAATGTGCGACTGGCCTAAGGTAACCCAGCTGACTTTATGTCTAAAGCACACTGTCTCTTGATTTCTAGCCTGGTGCCTTAAACACTATACCAAACTGGCTCTGTTATAACTATAATACTTACTCTCAACAAAAGCATGTATTTTGTGCTTTCACATAATGCCTGCCATGATAAACATCCCAACAACCAAAATCCATTTTGGCAAACCTATGACGATGTTTCATGCCATTCCCAGCTTATCTTTAGTTCTTTTGAGAAACAGGGCCACATTTTCAAACCAAGCACTACATTGTGGTCACCCACCCTTTTTATTTTCTAAGGATGTTCAGGAAGTCCATAGGCGAGACCAAACATAAAAATGAAGCTAACGACTAATAAGCAAAATAGCTTTTATATTTAATGAACAAAAATAACAAGTATCTGAACTTTTTGAATTCACCATTTTTTAAAATCAGAATGCTCCTGAGAAACCCTTGAACAACACTGGGACGCAGTAAAGGTTTAGTGGACTTTGAATTTAATGGACAAAGGTTTTGACCAAATGCAGACAATGATAGACTGTACTTCAGACAACAGACAATATCTAATTAGTGTATCAGTACACACAATATATTGTTTCTTCACAAAAGAGAAATTCACTGTTGAAAAGGACATAGTGTGTTCATAGGATCTGACAACCTACAGCACAATATTCATTTTTTTCTGATTTTTTTTTCTTAATAATATAAAACAAAGCATTTATTTTCCATGCCTGGAAAATAACTTAGGCATTACAATTGCATCCCCCTTTGATAAGCAATAGGAAAAGATATTGAACAAACTTGAGTATGTGTTTAAGCACAATCATGCTGACTAGCTTTATGTCTCACTTAGGCCAATGAACTGATGGGCAGTTTGATCAAAGCTTTAGCTGTGCCTGGGATAGACAAGTCACAAGTGTCTTGGATTGGATTGTTCATTTGTGGCCTCTCACTATGTGTCAATTTTAGAGAGAACTTTGGTTTTCCAAGGAGATCTGAGCTATGAAATACCAGGAGACTTTCCTCAAATGCAAGTAAAAGCCCCTATTAAGTATTATGTAATGGTGATAAAGGCAGCAAAAGATACTTATTTTTCCCTTTCTGTCATGTCTGCAGATAACCATCTGGCAACCCTGTTTAAGGTGATTCATTCAGTGTTGGGAAGGAATGAGCTTCAGGACTGACTGCAGGGCTGCAATGAGGAATACTCTAGCTACCTAAGGGATAAAAACACTTGGATTCATTCAAAATTGGACTCCAACTGGACAAGACCTGTTAAAATGCATTTGGCAGTCTTGTGGAGTTAGATGGGATGGCTTTGAGCCTATAAGTTGTTGAGTATGGTGAGCCCAATCATTTATCCCGCCTGGCATGTGAAAGTGCTTGGGAGGTGACTTGTGATGGTTCAATGCGATGATGCAATCCTCCTTGAGGAAGAGATTTTCCTGACAGCCTTGAATAGGCCATATGCAACCCATACTCAAGAAATCACACATGGATCCAATAGAGCTGGACAAACTTTTGTCTAGACTCCAGTTTTTCCTTTTTAGTGGTTGGGTTGAGACTCAGAAGGTTCTGAAGGAAACAGATTATTTGGATTCTTTTCTTTTAGTTTATAGTCTGTCAAAGAATTTTGGCTGGTTGGGTGGGTTATAAGAGCCTTCTGTGTTGTGTCTCCCACTCTTTGGAATATCTTACCCCCTGAGATGAGATTGGTTCCATCCTTCTGACCTCCTCTAAGAGCCAGATGGCTTTGCGCCCCAGTGGGAGAATATCACACTGGAGATGGTTGATTAATTCAAAGCCAACCCCACCTCCCGGCTCATCCAGCTCCTCTCTTCCCCCTCTTGTAACTATAATTTTACCTTGACTGTAGTTTCATTTCATCTCTGTTGATTCTAATGGTATATGGTACAATCTGTCCAAAGTTGGTACGAAATGAGATGAGTGGCTTGACATTGAGATGGATAGGATATAAATTTAATAAACAAGCAAACAAATAGTACAGAAAAAGCATTGATTGTGTTTGTGCATAACTACTGGGATGGAGGTGGTTTCATTTGTGTATCTGAGGGGCAACCCTATCTAAGTCATTTATGAAAATGCTGATGAGCGCTGGACCCAGGACAGAATCCTGAGATACTCCACTGCATATTGTATCTCCTATTTAATTTTTCAAGCTCCAATTTAATTGATATACATACAGTTCCTAGCATTCTTTTAAAGATACTTCTTTTCTAACTTTCTACAGTGTAATTCTCATTTTTTTTTCCAAGTGCTATTTAAATCATATGTTTTAAATGCATTCCAGACTATTAGGCAACTGTGTATTTGAAAAAAAGAATACATCTGTTGTTGTTGACCAGTGAATTGAGAATCATCTAATAATACTACTCCCAACTATTTGAGCTTTTCCTCAAAACTAGCCAGTATAATGGAATTATCTGAGTCTGGTAATGTGAATATTACCAAAATATTGTGAAAAAAGATCAGATGGGCATTCATTTTTCTGCATTTTGTAAACAGGTAGCAACCTTCCCTTTGAGTAAAAGGGCCAAAAGATCAGAAGTTTCAAGGAAGCCCTGCCTTAATGTGCTCACTGAAAAATGAGAGATAAAGTAGACATGTCCAGTTTCCAAGATTCTAATCCTTTTTTCTTTGCAATAAACCTCACTACTGAGACTCTGTGAGAATCTTGCTTTCTTGATTGGTAATATAAATTAAAAATCTAAAATTTCTTTTTCAACTATAAAATTAAAAGACTTCTTGATTAAAACCAATAACCCAACAAATTCTGAATTTCCAATAGTTTTTCTATAATACTATGATATAATATTATAATACTGACAATATATAGCAGTACACAAATGAAAAAATATTTTGGTAGCTAAGGATTTCTCCATCATTTATATTACATAAACATACATAATTCAGATAAATGTTCTTTAAACCACCATAGCAAATTATGATTTGATCCTACTAAGTATTTTTGAATAATTGCTATAGATTAACTCTCAACCCCATGGTTGACATTTTTATCTTGCAAAACAGATTCCAATCTACTTGGAAACAGAATATTAGAGATAAAGCTCAGAAATTATATTTTGTGCTAGAAGCACATTTGATACTGGCACAACAGCAGGCTATGGCAGATCTTAAGCAAAGAATTCTTGATACAGAATTGCAAGCTGAGCACAGCACAATGCCAGCTGTTTCCAACTAGTCTGGTATCTTAACAAATTCACAATAAACTGGTTTCTTAGGGCCTTCACACTGCTGTGCTTTGATATCCTATCATGAGGAAGACAAATTTCAGAAAAACCTCTGAGCAGAAAAGACTTTCTCTGGTCAGTTAGGAACAATGACTCATGCATTACTCAAATGGAACTTCTATAGAGAGACATCAGCTCTTAATCCCCAATTAGGCCACTCCACAGATATCTAGGTGAATTTTATGGGAAACTCCTTGGCAGATAAGGACCCTAAAAAAACAAAAGCCATTGCTAAATTTACATTTGCAATTTGCAGAACCTGTGCTTCACTAATGATAAATAACTTTTTACTGATTACTGGTTATATTGGGTAGACTAGAATATTGTGTTAGAATATAAGAATGCTGTACTGTTCTGGTTTTATTGCATTTTTTCCTCTTATTTTACTTTATTTTTATTTTGATTGTTTGGTGGAATTGTAATAAATAAATAAAACATTAAAAGAGTTAAGCTTACAATACAATTTTCTGCATTGTTTTTGACCGTTCAGCAAAAATTTAAGACAAGTACATTTTACTAACATGTAAAAAGGTCATTACTATTATAGTTGAATATTATTATTATATTATCAGCTCTGATAATATAAGCTATATATTGTATATCATATGTTATATATTAAAATTTTATATATTTAAAAGGAAGACAACACTTTCGTTTTCAATGAAAATAAAGTACAGCTGCAAAGAGATGATGAAAAAATTGCAGATGGAACAACAAATTATACAAGTAAGTTTTTCAAGTTTATAATAAAAAGAATAGTTTTCAAAACGTGATAATATTAGGGTTAGCAACCTTATTAAATATGTCAATTGTATTGAACAAGTAACAACTGTTTGGTTAAGCAATCAGGCACCAATTAATGGATATTATAGAAATTCTATATAGAATTTCAGATTTTCAAATAAGCATTTTTTAAAAATGTATAGTGCAATAACATACTTACAGGTGCCACAGAACTACCGTATTTTCCGGCATATTAGACGACTTTCTAAACCATGAAAATCTCCTCAAAAGTTGGGGGTCATCTTATACTCCCAGTTGTCTTATACGCCGGAAAATACCCACATGTGCGTCGGAGGCCAGCCGGTCGGGCCGGGAGAAGCAGCGCCTTCTGAGCGGGAGCTAGTGCTCCAGCTGTGCCCCTCTTGCGTGCGATGGGCTGCGCGGCGTGGAAAGGGGCTCCCACGACCCCACCGCTGTGATGGCGCTCAGGAGGCTGGAGGGGTGGGCAGGTCCCAGGGGGCGGCTGGGAGAGGGCAAGAGGTGCCGGGATGAGGATGGAGGGCTCCAGGTTGGCAGGTGAGAGTGCAGCCAGTGGCTCTGAGGCACGCAGATCCTCCGCGTAGCTTCCGAGGCCCTGGGTGTGCTGCCGCTTGGCTCTCCACCAGGCTGTCCGCCAGAGCCTCCCCCCCTCCCCGGGCAATTGTGCGGAGCTGCTTGTGCGTCCCCTTCAATCTCTCCCTCCCTCCCCTCCCTCCTTCCTTCCTTCCCCCTTCAATCTCCTTCAATCTTCCTTCCTTCCTTCCTTTCATCTCCATCTCTTGGCGGGTGTGAGAGGGCAGCCGGCGGCTCCGAGGCCCTGGATGTGCCGCCACTTGGCTCTCCACCAGGTTCTCCACCAGAGCCTTCCCCCCACTCCCTGGGCAATTGTACAGAGCTGCTTGTGCGTCTTTGGCAGCGCCTCCCCCCTTCAATCTCTCTCTCCTTCCTTCCTTCCTTTCCCCTTCAATCTCCTTCCTTTTCCCTTCAATCTTCCTTTCTTCCTTCCATCTCCATCCCTTCCCCTTCAATCTCTCTTTCCTTCCTTCCTTCTTTCCTTCCTTCCTTCCTTCCTTCCTTCCTTCCTTCCTTCCTTCCTTCCTTCCTTCCTTTCCCCTTCAATCTCCTTCCTTCTCCATCTCCTTCCTTTCCCCTTCAATCTTCCTTCTTTCCTCCTTCCTTCCTTCCTTCCTTCCTTCCCAACATTTTTGAGCAAGGAAGAGTAAGCTTCTCCAGCGAGCATTGCTACCGTATTTTCCGGCGTATAAGATGACTTTCTAAACCATGAAAATCTTCTCAAAAGTTGGGGGTCGTCTTATACGCCCAGTCATCTTATATGTCAGAAAATACGGTATATAATAGGACTTCCTAACACAAGCTCAAGTAGACATCCCCTCTTCTTTTGACAGTCAAGACTTGTTGAGTTCATGAAGCAGCATTTGCGACATATGCAATCTGTATGTTGCTGCACTGCAATGACTAAGGAATTTCAATGTCAGATAAAAGGCAAATCATAAAAAACTTCAGCCGCTGATTTATGGATAAAGGAGGAAGATTACTGATGAGAATGCAACCAAAATACATTGTTCCATAAATGTTATGGGTCATAATCTACTAATACTAATCCAGTCTGGTTTGGTAAACAAAGACATCTCATCTATCACATCACCTGTCACTTTCCCAGGCTAGGAAAGTAACAGATTTGTCACTATAGTATAACAGGACTACATTTAAAGACAGTGAGTGTTTCCAATAGCACAAGATTAATTTTCATTTTTTTCACCATCTTGCAATTTGCAAATGCTATTGCACGGAATTCACTATCTAAAATTGCTATAGAACAGGCATGTCAAACTGCTGGCCTGTAGGCCAGATGTGTCATGACAAAACCGCGCCTACCCCATTGCCAGCAATGGGGGAAAAGTCGCAATATGTTGCATGACGTCACGAGTTTGATATGCCTGCTCTAGAAGGTCCAACAGCACAACTTGGCTAATTTGTTTGTGTCTATTGCTCACCAGAAGCCCAACTTGGCTAATATGCAAAGTTAAGCAGAGAGCCCGCTAGGAACAATTATTTGTCTATGTTGGATTGAACATTTTTAAAGAATCCTAAAAGAAACCAATAGGAACTACATGATTGCCAAGAAAACTACACGGACTGGATATATCATAAAATGATCAGGAATTGAACTTAACTAGAGGGAATGTTTACCTTATATTCCAAGCAATTTTTATATTTCGTCCATATAGACTTTTTTTTTTTTTTTCAAAAGATAGAGCTATCAGGAGCCATCTGTAACCAACCCTCCCAAAGGATGTTTGAATAACATAGATTCTGCAGAAAAGCGTGGAAGATAATTTTGTTATAAACTATTGAAACTTTTATCAGGCTTCTACTTAAACTGACACAAAATTATATACTTTCAGAAATGGCTACTTGTCTACTATGTGTTTGTTTAATTCGTTCAATTTACTGTGAAGAAATGGATATTGAAAGTATTCCTGTTCTGCCAAAGGAAACAGGTTACCTTTATGCACGATTCAACAAAATCAAGAAGGTGAAAGTATCTGATTTTGCTGAAATTCGTAAGTAAACTGTAAAAATAAATTTTCTTGGAAGTACTATAATCAATCATTGGAAACACACTTTGGTTAGCATTTAGTTATTTGTATTTTTGAACCACTAGCTATTACAGAAAGCAGTAACACTTTTTCAGAGAAAATTAATTTTACTGGTCAAATTAATTCATGAATCAAATTAAAGTTTGTTTTATATGATGGCTTCTGAATATTATACTTCAAAACATCCCAATCTTCTGCTGATTACATTCCTTTGAAAGTGATTGGTGGAGGGATGATGCCAGAGGGAGGGGCTAAGAGGTCAATGGCAGCTCAGAGAATAGCTGAGGATCAAATATTTTCATTTTCATGTTGATTTTAAAATGGTATTGCACTTATCAGAAATCCATATTATTTGTGTTTATGAATAGTCCTCAGGTTATGACAGCAAATTGTATTAGGATTGCTAAGCAATGCATTCATAAAGCGCAATATCATGTGACCACATTGTTTAGCAATGAGAATCTGTGTAGTTCTAGTTGTCACTATATCCCAAGCCACTTGGTCATTAAACAGGAAGAAGTAAGGGAAGGGGTGCTGTGTTGGTGGGGAAGAGAGCTTAGTGCATGTGTGGGAAGGCCAGCACAGCCCATACGCAAGCTGGGAGAGACAGAGGGGGCCTGGTTAGGCCAGTAGACACTGCATATAAATCAGGGAAAGCCCGGGAGGAAAAGTTGGGAGTGGCTTACTGAAGTGACTTGCAACTTTCCCTGCTGGCTTTCCCATTGGCTTTGCTTATGAGAAGACGGCAGGGAAGGTTGCAAATGGCGGTCCCATTACTGCACTCCCTGCAATATCATAATTGCGAGCTGGTTATCCAAATGCCCTTATCACAATCACCTGCCTGTAGGTGTGCTGCAAGGGCCAGAACTTTGAAGGCTGCTCATATGTAAATTTTTGAGTACCACTTTGCAACTTTGAATAGTTGCTGAATGAATAAATGTAAGTCGAGAACTACCTGCATATGCCTTTATAATTTAGGCAAAAGATTGAAGTTAGGTTGAAGATTGCATGTGGCCATTGCCACTTCTGATTTAAACTAGCACCATCAATGTAGGTACCTTTAAGAGGCAAAATCAATGCTTTTCTCCTCTATTTCTAAATTTAATAGTTAACTGCTGATAGAATTAAGAGACAAAGGAAAATTACTGAAAACAAGTCAAAAGTATTAATTCCATATTTCCCCAATTAAAAAAAAGTTGGAAATGCCCTCTCCTTCCAGTCATCAAGAATGCCCACCAAGAGCCACAGAATTGGAAAATAAAAATGACCATCTAGGAATACAAGAAAGTGCCAGTAAATTTATCCAAGTCTCACTATTCTCATCCTGGAAGAGGACATGGCCAATAAACTTGTATCAAACTGAGGGGAAGGATATAATATTATTTCAGTTCTCAATTGTTCTATAATTTTGTTTTAAAAATATTACTACTTTTCTAGAGAATTAATTATTTACAAATAGTCATGGTGTTTTTGCAAATTTTCAGTGCCTGTGTTAGAAAAGTCATCTACCTCTCAGGTAGAATCCAGAGAATTATCTTAACCACATATGTAGAACTGGTTCTTTATTTAGTCAGTTCAGCACATTGTAGCGCATGCCTTTAAGCAGTAAACACCTGCAGAAAAGATATTTTAATTGTAATATTGTTTACTTTTAAGCCACCCTAAGAAGAATTGATTTGACTGGAAATGCAATTCAAGAGATTGAAGATGGAGCCTTTGCAAAGCTAATACTACTAGAAGAACTTTCATTAGCTGATAATCGGATAGCCAAGCTACCGGTTTTGCCTCCCAAACTAATTTCACTAAATGTAAATAACAACAGAATTAAAAACAGAGGAATTAAAGCAAATGCATTCAAGGTAAAATAATTGTTAAGTATAAGCACTACTAAGTTTGAATTATTTCAAAAAGAGCTATTGTACTTATAAAATAAGTATTATATAAGAAATATATTGGACTAATATGTTATCATAATTACCATTCTAAGATTTAAATTTCAAGCTTGCTTAATTTAATTTACTTGTGCTGAAGAAAGTCCCTTTATGGATCACTATCTTATAGCAGTGTCCATCCCATGACTAGATAGCTAGAGAAAACATTTGTAAGAACAAAAGCACCATCCTCTACCTGCTTATGTGGAAGTAAATCCCGCTGAGTTCAATAGACATTACTTTTAAGTAAGATAATGTACTGGTATACAATATTTTAATTTTACTTTAAGCCTTCAAACAATAGTGCAAAATGTACTACAGATGGAAATGCTGCATAGACATAAAGTAGGTTTGTAATAAATCCCAACAAATTATTAATATTCTTGCATATTTTTTCTTATTTCAGGTACTGATTATAGTACTAGGTCATGGGATATGACTAAACAATTTAGATGCTGAGTACCTTCCATAATCTTATATGAGCAAAGGAACAAAAAAGTTAGGTTTTTTAATTCCTAAAGTTCTGATGAGATTATCGTATCTCAAGATTCCACATCTCTTGAGAGACTTGTGGTTTTGTGAAATTTCAAGTTATTTTTTCGTTTTAACAGTCTTTTAAATTAATTTTGAGGTTTTGTGCATACATATAAGGATTTTGCGTGTCCTTTGCTGCAGATCCATATTTTAATGGAAAACCCATTACATTCGTAAAATTCTCCAGCCTTGAAATTATGTGCATCTGCCAATTATAACCGAACAAATATTTTACAAAACTTGTTTAAAGTCTTTATATATTTCATTCTGACTGAATTCAAATAGTTTGTATTCTAAACAGCAATCTAAATACAGAATCTTCACTTGCAATGTACAGAATTACATCTGGCTGAAAGTCTATTTCTCAGTTAAAATTAATCCCAGATACTTTATTCTGCATTGCAGATTAATTTTCAGTGCACCGATAGAACTATACTACCAAATGTATTTATCCTAAATACACAACATAGTCCAGAATTTTTTTTACAAAATAGCAATTTTCCTGTCTTTCTTCAAAAGCAAAATAAGGAGACTGATACCCAATGCCATTGCATGAACACAGTCATATGGTCATGCTGGGATAGTGCTCCTAAAGACTCAATAGGTCAGCATTTATTGTTGTTAATGCTGGACCTTCAATCTGGCTCTATATATCTATACTATCTTAATATATTTTTGTAAATATCCCAGAGCTTTTTGGATTGTGTAGCAAATAAACTGGCAAAACAAATAAGTAAAGCAAATAAGAATGCAGATGTACTATACAATCTTTATGTATTGGCTGCGTGTCACATCCATATTTATACAGGATCAAGCAGATTACTGTTTACCCAATTTAACTATTAAATAACATAGTAGTATTTAGTAAAAAAATATTATCTTTCTCTTCTTCTCACAGAAGCTGACAAAATTGTCCTATCTCTACTTAGCACAGAACTCACTGGAGTCTGTTCCTCCTAATTTGCCAGAAAGCCTACGTATTCTGCATCTTCAGGTTTCTCAAACCTTTTTTTTTTTTTTTTACTGTTGGTCAAACATTACTACAAACTTAATGCTTCGAAGTACATTCCCAGTGTCTGAGAAAAACGTGCATAAAATCACTCATTAATGTAGATTTGCAATAATTAAAAAATGACAAGTATGCATATCACAGTACTTAGAAAATTTATTATACTGATTAAACCTAACTGATGTTAATATGAGCACATTGTTGCACACTACTGTAGTAATTACAATGTTTGGATTAAGAATGCTGGAGAAAGATACACAAACTTCATTTCAAATCACTGAAATGCCCTAAAAACAGATATACTTAGAATTATATTTGTTTAAACTTATTTACTGTTTAACTGAGGAAGAATATTCCCATGCCTGTGTTAAATACAGTACTAATTTGGTTTCTGAATCTTCTTGGAGCAAACGTACATGTTCTGTAATATTAGAGAAATATTAAAAGTAACTGAACAAAAGAAAAAAAATGAAATTTCAAAGGGGATGCTTGGACTTTTCAAACTCATTGCTTTGATTTACAGTTCAACAACATTACCAGCATCACAGATGAAACTTTCTGCAAAGGAAACAATCAGACCCGTTATGTTCGTCAGCGCATGGATCAGATCAGAATGGAAGGCAATCCAGTCATCTTGGGAAAGTACCCCAATGCTTTTATTTGCTTGAAAACTTTGCCTATAGGCCAATACTTTTAGTTGCTAACTAAACTGAAACACGTAAAAATAGATTAAATTACTGTTATATCACTGTTATAGCCTCTCACGTATATTCAGAACTGTTAGTGGTAACGATGTATTTAGATCTTCCCTAATGTGGTGATATTGCACCTTCTGACTTAAAAAGTTTGAGAGTTTTTCTACTTTTAGATAATAGAGTCGAGTATAAAACCAGGAAAAGGCATTGACTCCTTTTGAGTAATCAAATTACAAAATGAATTAAAATTGATTTTAAAACATTACTGTTATGAAACTATGAATGCATAATAAACTTAAAGGAATGCATTCTTTTAGGGGACAACTATAATTTGATTCAATTAAGAAGTATTGTAAACAGACTGTATAATACTTTGGATTTAAAGAGGAAAAAATCCTTCAGAAAACATATAGGAGCTCTTGCAATGCCTTTTTCTCAGGACCATGCTGTACCTCTGGAGGGCACCCATGTGTTCCTGGAAAAAGACTTAGCTCATTTAACAAGTTGCTGATAGGTGGTACATAAGCATCCTGCACAGTCCAAACTTGAAAGGCAAGAGCTGCACTTAATGAAAAATATAGTGAATGTGGGGCAAAAGATAGAGCAAACCTATGATGCTTTGCTTTCCCAGTCATTGTAGGCATAGACTGGATAGGAAGAGCAAGCGGTTCTTAGGCAACAGTCCACGTGCCAGAGTTTGACACAGCTGAGATTGCTAAAAGGTCAGACAAGGCTATGGGCACATGCTGCTGGCAAGCACAGCTATTTATGCAAGAAAGAACCAATGTAATACATAGGAATATAGGCTGAAATGCAACATAGATTATTTAAACCGAACAGCCCTTCCCAGTTCGACCTCTGGCGCTGATGAAATAGGACAATATCATTTTAAATATATCAGCAATCTATTCTGATATTATTGGCAAATGTTATTCATTAGCCTAGCAAAATAACAACAGCAAATGAAATCAAAAACTAAACATGCTGTTTCAGTCTGATCTCTGCACTACAAGTTATAGAAATAAAACTATTCAGTGTAGGAAAATGAAATGTGTTCCAGTTTCAATTGAATTAATATATTTTAAGGATATCAAAAAGTGACCCAAGCTTATTAGAAATGTTTATCACACTTATCAAAATGAAAGGGGAAAAAGACCAATCAATTTATGTTTTAGCATGGAGGATTTTGCTTAAATGTTAGCCTGCCTGCAAGTCCATTTGTGGATCCCAGAATATGGCCTTTTTTGTGCATTGGGGATGAGTACAAAAGTTTAAAAAAATAAAATAGATCTTGAGCATTACACACATTTAACCTTTAGTGAGTTTGTGAAATTTGTCTCCAACCAATGTGGCATAGTATTTGCAGTATGAATAGGTAACATTTTTGAAATCTTTATTGTATTTAAAGCATATTCGCTTAACCATTATCACAATCTTGGTATGATATCTGAATTGTAATCAGTTGAATTAATTCATAAAAGTCAGTGTAGCTGATTTCAACACAACAATCAAACAATTTGTATACATGTATCAGATGAAGGGTTTTTTTTTTTCAGAAACACCAGTAGTAAGTCTTATTTGTATTCATTCTCATTCTTTGCATATGTTTCATTAAGACAGATATATTATTTCTGATTTAATTATTCACCAAATATTGAAGACTAGCCATGAGCCTTTGCTGTAACTATACACTTTTAGCAATTTAAGATATCTGACTTCAATTATATGGTGAATTTATATGTGAAACCTTTACAGAGATTTCTGATTGATTTTAGTCTGCACGTGCTTCCTGTTGTCTAGAATTCTCCATGCCTAATAAATAATTATAAAGAAAAAAAGGCTTACTATTCTTTTGTAGATATCTAACCTATCACAGACATTAAAATAGTAAATTGTTGTAGTTTCCCATTTTTCCTACTCCCTAACTCCAACACCTGAGCGAATCAGTCTGTTTGAATTCTTCCTTCAATTGATAGGATTAGGCTACATTTTAATCTTTCTTCCTGCCTTCATTCAGACTGACATCACATGATTCCCTGCTCTTCCTACTGTACCTTCTATGGTAATTCTATAGCAGTGATGGCAAACCTTTTAGAGACCGAGTGCCCAAAAACTGCCCCCGTCCCCGCTCCACCCTGCCCACTGGGCCACCCACCACTTCCACGGCCGGCCACAAATAACCTGGCAGCCCAGCAGCACCATGGCAGCCACGCCTTCTGCCTGTGCCCCACAGCATCATCTGCGTGCAACGGGGCACAAGGGTGGAGTCTTATCCCCACTGGCAGGCTACCATGTCCTTGGCTGCGCTGCTTCATGTGGGCCACGCCCAGGAGAGACTCTTCCCCAGGGGGGCTGCTGGTGAGGAGGGGGCCGTGGGAGGAGGCAAGGCTGGGGAGACAGTGTGTGTGCCCACAGAGAGGGCTCCAAGTGCCACCTCTGGCACCCGTGCCATAGGTTCGCCACCACTGTTCTATAGCATATTCTCATATTAATCACTCTCTGATATTCCAAGCAACAAGTAGATGCTCTTGAGAATACTGTGGATAGACAAGAAAATAAATAAATGGATCATAGAACAATCCAGAGTTTTCACTCAAGGTACACATGATCAGACTCAAATTACCAAATTTTGGGCACATTATGCAAAGACCCAACTCTCTTGAGAATCTGTAATTCTGGGCAAGATGGAAGGAAAGACAAGAGGGTAAGGAGCAATAGGGTAAATGGACTTGATTACAGCAGTCATAGAAGCACCTTTGAAAGGTTTGAAAGTCCAAGTCATCCTGGAAAAGGTCTGTTTGGTTCTTAAGAACTAACACCAACCTGATGACACATAATTAATCACCTTTTTATTTAGGCAAACTAAATCTGACAGAGATAGGCTACCAAAATATTTCTACACCCATTGATCTCATGTTTAAACTGCAATTATACAAATACCTCTGCACATGATCTATTAAAAATTGAATCTGTTTATTAATATAGTAACACCCCTGATGATACAACTAAACTGGCTGCTAATTAGCTACAATACTATTCCACAGTGTGTCTTTGACATGTAAGGCTCTAAATCAGAGGTCCCCAACCCCCGGTCTGTGGACCAGTACCAGGCCGTGGCATGCCAACAACTAGTCCACACAAACAAGCAAAGCCCCATCTGTGGGATGCAGGCAGCACACAAAACCATGCCCCCTCTTTTCCACAGAAAAACCTCTCTCCACGGAACCAGTCCCTGGTGTCCAAAAGTGCTCTAAACCACTTGGGACCAGAATACTGGATAGACTGCCTATACAGTCACAGACCTGATTGTAATTACAATTTTGTACAACTAAATGATCTGTAATCATTAAACTTGTTGTGTGTGCCAAGAGTGACACGCTACAAGAGTAATCTTGTAATTACCCAAGGTAGAGGCTTTCTCTACCTTGAGTGGTGGCAACTACACTCAGAATGTTCTTCCTCCAGAAATTCATAAGGCATCTATTACAGGTAATCCCTGAGTTATGAGTGTTCACTTTAATGCTCGTTCAAAGTTACGCGATAAGTGCCTCCTAGTGTTTACAAGAAAACTCCAAAATTATGAATATTGCAGCACCACAGCAATTGTTCGTCCTTACGAAAGACTGCAGAGGCTCTGCAACACTTACCCTTTTCTCAAGGTGAGTTCAGTGTGGCAGGGAGGGGGAAGCATGAGGTATCTTAGTGAGTTGGGGAGGCCTTGGGGCCTGTTCCATAGCCCCCCCCATGGCATTCCCCACTGAGATACCTCGTGCGAACTTAACGAACTGCGCATTCGCCCTGCATTCAATTAGAGAATGTGTGGGTGAAAGCAGGGAGCGATCTCATTCAAGATATGAGATTCACCCCTACAAGTACTCGAATTATGAGTGGAATGGGCAGGCTCCATTACATTCATAACTTGGGGACTAACTGTATTGCAATGCAATAGCTGATAAGGTTTATCTGAGGTGAGATTATTACTAACCAGAAATTTTTCTATATAAGTGAATTGACAAATTATTTTTACTTAGTGAAATATGTAAATACAGATCTGGTTGGCATCTGTCCTGTAATCCTTTTATAACATTATAAAGATACAGCTTTTCCCATTAAAATGTTCTGAGATCTACCTCTTTCTGCTATTCAGCTATGTTGATGCCACCATTGTATCTTGTGATTGCTATTTTATTGTTACATTATTTTATGAATTATTATTTTATACTTAGATTTTTATTACTTGATGATTTTAAATTGTTTTATATAATGCCCAGAGCTGATCTGATGATGGTAGTCCAGCTATATAATAAATAAATATAGAACAATATTATTTTATAGTCTATACTGGATGAGATAAACTTTCTGGCGATTCTTTTTAACACAATTGTCAGACTAATGGCACAGTACATAAGCTGATGCTTTATATAGTCGTTGTGAAAGAAAAAAAAATCACACTTCTACCCAAGAAATTATAAACAGTATAATTTTGAAGCATTGCAATTTTATAAATATATAATCTAATGATTATAAATATATTACTGAAATACTCCCAATTTATAATATCACAAAGATATATTAAATTAATTCATTTACTTTACTTTAATTCACTCATTTAAATCCACTAATTCATGGACCAAAATTAATGTTTCCAAAGTATTACCTTAAAATAAGCAAACGTACGTTCCCGATGTTTACACCATTCAAAGAAACAAGTGAAATTTCTGAAGAACAGGCAGAGATCCCCATTTTCTTCAACCCTAGAATGCATTAATATACATATATATTATTTTTTGCATGGGTAATTTTGGTCCACACTATTTTTCTAAGCTTTTGAATGCATGAAAAGTGACAAAAATTATTAGTCTGAAACATTTTTGTATAATTACATTGCTGAACAGTGTCCTTGTTATAAATGTTTTATTTAAGATCATTTGTTACCTTAATAAATCTGGATAGGTTGAGACTTAGTTTGAATGTATTAATTTTATTTATTTATTTAAAACATTTATATAGTCACCCATCTTATTATCAAATTTGGGTGCCTCCCAATTTATTTATTTATTTAGCTTAGCCCTGTATATTTATAGGTATATTGCAATCTGACTAGGTTAACCAACCAGTTGGTGGCAGGGCAGAAAACCAGTGTTATAATCCACAAGTTAAAATAAATATGTAAATCATTATGTCAGAAACTTAAGCCTTTTGAATGGTTCCATTACTCAGTACACTTTGCATGACAGACGCTTTATACCAGCAACTAGCACAATTTCATTTTCACAACAACACTTTAGAAAATGTATTTTCTCCCATTATTTTACTTTCAATCTCCTTTCCCTGCTGAACATCTAAGTACTGTAGCCTGCAGCAATGTTAATAATAAACGTTATATATATTAGCACCATATGTTAGCTCATAAAAAGCTAAATCAACAGTTCAAAAGACATATAATTTTATCCCCCTAATTTTACCAACCACTCCCTTCCTCCAAAGGAAACTAATTTGCTTAACAAATACTGATTTTGCTTTCTTCAAGAGACAGTTATTAAAGCAAAGTATTACTTAGCATGATGTTTTAATCAGGTTTGTGATTGGATTTACATGCTATGTATGGTTTACTAAAAAACCACAATTATTGGGTTTATAAAATCAAACAAGCCACATTTTGGTTTAAGGCATGCTGTATAATTTTTAAACATGCTTTTTTCTGAAACACAACAAACAATATTGTTGTCTCCCTGATTTATTGGAGAGACAAAACAATGACTAGACTTTAAAAAATACAAAAAAACTTTATATAGTGTTTTAGCAACATGATTATTTAATCATTACCCATTCCAGGCCCAAGGTTAAAACAGCAGGTGACAATTAATACATATTATCTTTAAAAAGAGAAGACAACTGTATTCAATAACACAAAAACAACATAACTGAATGGTTTCTATTAAAAATGATTTGGAGAAGTTGTACCATTTCCTTCCAAATTACTGCAAGAACAAGTGTTCCCGAGCATTATAAGATCAGTCTAAAGTCACTGTACTAAAAATGTAACCAAACAAAAACCAAATGGTTGAGTATTGAAGCAGAAATGTGATATGAGGGGTCCTTGCTGCTCTATGCCAGGGGTCCCCAACCCCCCTTCCGTGGACTAGTACCGGGCCACAGCATGCCAGCAACTGGTCCGCACAAACAAGCAAAGCCCCATCCGCGGGATGCAGGCAGCACACAAAACCATGCTCCCTCTGGTCCAAGGAAAAACATCTCTCCAGGTAACGGGTCCCTGGTGCCCAAAAGTTTGGGGATCTCTGCTCTGTGCAAAAAAGACTATCACCCAGCCCAAAAAGGAACAAAAAGACCCAAGCACCTCTCCACCAGCAATCAGCATCCAGATCAGCATAGATTAATCCCAAGGTTAACATCAGACCAACAATCAAGTAAACAATACTCCAATCAAGAAACTGCCAAAGAAGCAAACAGCCATCAGCCCAACCAAAGAATCTGTAAGACCACCCCCCACCAACACTGACAGACAAGCCTCTAGAATATAAACTGACTGCAAACGCACTCTTTACTAGCACTGATGTTACCTAGTTTGGATAGTGAAATGTCTGCAAGAAAACAAGCAAGCTCAGAGAGCACCAAGGACCCCATGTCAACTCTGGGCTACAAATATTCTCCTTTAAAAATATGATAAGAAAGTGTCTTTGCAGCACCTTAGAAAAAAAGGAGGAACGAAGAGAAGAGAAATATGTCAATTACAAATATATAACTCTAGAACAGACATATCAAACTCACGACATCACGTGACGTCGCGTCACGTATCGGAGCTTTTTTGCCATTGCTGGCAATGGGGTGGGCGCAGCTTCGGTATGATGAAACCGGCCCGTGGGCCGGCAGTTTGACACCCCTGCTCTAGAATGAAAGAACTTGTTAACATGTGCCTACTCTAGTAAGATTTGCTTATTCTTTAACTTCTGTAAAAGGCTGAAAGAAAGGAAAAAGAGAACAATGTGGAATGTAAGGAACAAAAGCAAAAAGTGGATGTCATGATTAATGTCTAAAGAAGACTGGCATGAACAAACTAAGTCTACTCTTCAGTTGGCTTGTCATCATGGACCACTATGAAGAAATCTTGTCCAACACTAAATGGATGAAAGTTCAATGATTGTCTCAAACGGAGGAAGATGACTGTAGTATATTCCTAAAAAGTAAAGGTTGGGTTTTGATTGCTATATGTTTCCGATTCTGTCACTTTTTTGTATAAAAACGATAGATAGATAGATAGATAGATAGATAGATAGATAACCTTTATTGTCATTTTTTAACTGTGGGCACATTGGCACACATTAAAAATGAAATTTAGTTGCTTGCTAACTGTATATATACATAGCACACATTTAAACATGCTATACACAACATATGTATAAACCTACACCCTTACATATAAATAACACATAAATATTAATCACTGTCCATCTTGAATACATAACAGAAAGAGGAAGCTTTAGAGTTCACAAGGTTAATACTGTATAGCAGACATGTCAAAATCGCGACGTCACGTGACGTTGCGCAACATATCGGGACGGTTTTGCCATTCCCGGCAATGGGGTGGGCATGGCTTCCAGATGAAAAGTCCGGCCTGCAGCCGGCAGTTTGACACCCTTGCTGTATGGTATGGTATTTCAGTCTAGTAATTGAAATCTTACCTTGAAACAAGCTTGCTTAAATCACGGTACTTGTCACATTCTGTTATAACATTAAGGTCAGTTACTATAGCTGAAGCATTTCTGTTCATCTGGGGGGGGGGAAAGTTTATTAGTAAAACAGTGAAGAACAAATCAAATGTATTAATAAATCTAAATAAGTCACAACTTATTTAATATTTAAATATAAATGTTATGAGAAACTTCAAATGAGCGTGAGATTTAAATGTTTCCCAAAATAACTGCTGGTTAGTAGAGCATGATCAAGTTGATTATGACATAGCAGCAAAGAGCTTCTGAGAATGCAATTTATTTATTTATAAAAATTTATTGGCCGCCCATCTTACCATAGGATAACTCTGGGTGATTTAGTCATATATATACATATACATATATGAATAAAAGAATAAAATACGATCATACGAGGGTTAAAATAAAAATACTTTACTAAAAATATACTTATACTAAAAAGTTGCCAAGCTTTCGCTGGGGGAACTCCCCAGCATCGTCAGGGCTAAAAGGCCATTACAATAAAGGTGGTTTAAGTAGGTTCAAGTAACGTTTGCGCACGGCTCCTAGACCGTGTTACTGGCCCTGATTGGCCAGCTGATAACCAAGATGTGTCTATAACGTTATGTACATATACATATATATGTACAATTAAAACAAACAATTAAACTCAACATTAAAACACATGGGGAGGGCAGGGGCAGAGCAGGGAGGAGGTGGGATGTTATTATTCAATCAACACCTTCACTATGCTGTGTTTATGCATTCCCAAACATAAACATTTTCAAGCCATTGAAGGGAATTTAAAATTTGAATATTCATGGTCCAAAACGTAGGGGCAGCAAGGAAAACAACTAAACTTATGTTTGTAGACATTTGACCATTTTTTGCAAGAGAGGGAATATTATTTTCTTCTTTTGGTAAATTTTGTTTTTATTAAGAACTCATGAACATACAATGCAATTTTTTGGATCTGTAATCCAAACACATCTTTTCCTCGGATCATGCTACCACTATGGAAGCCAGCTATGAAAGCCTAGGAAGAATGCCACCTACTGGCAATTTAGATTTAGTTCTTGCTTGTTCATCAATTTAACTTGTTTCTAAGAAGTCAAGCATAAGAGTTCATTCCTAACAGACGTCTTACTGGAACTTATTTTTGTATGTGTTTCCAAAACAAACAAAAGAATACATTTAAGCTCTAAGTTTTGGCAAAATTGTATGTATTTAATTTTATCAGAATTCATTTTTGTGCAAAATTTCAGGTTCTGTTTCTTCTTTTAACTTTTTCCTATCAAGATAAGTGTTCAAAAAATTATAGTTAAAATAATTAGGAAATTTATCTCCCCATTTTTCTCTTTCTTCTTCAACTGTTTATCCTATTATGTTACGTCTTAACTACATGAACATTTAACTTACATTAATCCTATGTAAATAGGATTAATTCTCAATCAAATATAAAATACAATGTTTGGAATAAAGTATTATGTTACACTTACTAGTACAGAAAAGCAATATTTTGATACAAATTCATTAGCATAAAATCATTAGCGGTTTCAGAAAAATAAATTAATGTACCAAAATTGCACTGACAACAACCATGGCTGGTTTCACAAGAAATCTCACAAATTCAGTTTGTTTATGCTAGTTATTGAAGGTTAGTAAAATGTTCCAGTATATTTTAAAAACATCTTCCATTACCTGACTTTCTTTTGTGAGTTTAAATTCCAACTGAAATGAGATTGACTGACACTTTCCTGACAGCTTATAAGTTTGAATAGTTTTAGATCCATCTATAATAAAGAAATATTAAAATACATACATTAGAGTGATCAGCTGTATAATCCTTCAGTTATGTGTTATTTATTAATCAATAACATTTAAAAATACGAATCCTGGGTAAAGCCATAAGATAGAAACAAATAAGTTCGAACACCAGGATAACATTAAACCACAAACTGTTTAATACAAATGCTGAGCTTTCATCGGCCAACACTGCCAACATCGTCAGAGCATAAAAGCAAGGTTGCTGGGAGTTCTCTTATATCATTGGTCGACTCTGCATTCGACTTTTCAACCTGGTCACTGGTCCACTCATCGTCTCTGGTTGTTTTATTTTTAAAGGGCACGCGTTTGCTGCTACGCTAATAGTTTCCAAGGTTGCTGTTCTTTTTTTACCTTTCTTCCCCCCAATCCCTTTCCGACAGCCCCACTCGGGAAGAACCAACAGGCCTCGGGATGGAGATGAGGGTGAGCGAAAGTGCCCTATACAATCTGACAGCCCCATTGGGGAAGAACAGACATGGCTTGGGATAGAGATGAAGGGGGAGAGTGAGCGAAAGCACCTGGCACAATTTGACAGTTGGACGCACACGAGGAAAGGGATTGGGGGGGAAGAAAGGTAAAAAAAGAACAGCAACCTTGGAAACTATTAGCGTAGCAGCAAACGCGTGCCCTTTAAAAATAAAACAACCAGAGACGATGAGTGGACCAGTGACCAGGTTGAAAAGTCGAATGCAGAGTTGACCGATATAAGAGAACTCCCAGCAACCTTGCTTTTATGCTCTGACAATGTTGGCAGTGTTGGCCGACGAAAGCTCAGCATTTGTATTAAACAGTTTGTGGTTTAATGTTATCCTGGTGTTCGAACTTGTTTCTATCATATACACACATGTATGTGTGTGTGTGTGTGTATATATACATATACATATATATATATATATATATATATATATTTGTTTTCTGAGGTTTTTGCGGGTGTTTGTATGTAGGTCTTTGGTTATTCTGGTTTTCTCCCACGTAAAATTGGAAGTGTCTTGCCGACGTTTCGACGAAGTCCCATTCGTCTATAGACATATATAAAAGACATATATATATATATATGTCTTTGGTTATTTGGGTTTTCTCCCACGTAAAATTGGAAGTGTCTTGGCGATGTTTTGACGAAGTCCCATTCGTCATCTTCAGGCTGGTGTTTTCAGCTTCGTGCTTCGAGGAGCAATGTGTGGTCTTAGCTGTTTCTTCCTTTTAACAGCTGTCCGCGAGGGGTGAGGTGAGGGAATAAGGAAAAGATTATGCAAAGCGCCGGGCAGCACGTCACAGCTGTTTGGACAGGCAGGCAAAGTCCCACCCGCTGCCGCTTTTCCACTCTCGCTTCCAGACCGCCGCTTATTATATATATGCTTTCTGAGGTTTTCGCGGGTGTTTGTATGTAGGTCTTTGGTTATTCGGGTTTTCTCCTGCGTAAAATTGGAAGTGTCTTGGTGACGTTTCGACGAAGTCCCATTCGTCATCTTCAGGCTGGTGTTTTCAGCTTCGTGCTTCGAGGACCACGAATGCGAAGCCAAAAAATAGCAAGGCAGCCCACCATCTTAAACCCCCCTGCAACTCAGACTAACCTGAGCACAACAAAGCCCCCAAACAGAACACTCCCCAAGCCAATCAGAGCACAGCCAACCCCCCAGCCAATCAGAGCACAGCCAAGCCCCTAACCAATCAGAACACACCTCCACCCAATCAGAACACAGCCAAGCTCCCACCCAATCAGTTCATACCCCCACTGGCAGTTAAAAGGAAGAAACAGCTAAGACCACACATTGCTCCTCGAAGCACGAAGCTGAAGACACCAGCCTGAAGATGACGAATGGGACTTCGTCGAAACGTCGCCAAGACACTTCCAATTTTACGTGGGAGAAAACCCGAATAACCAAAGACCATATAAAATAGGGAAGTTTTCAGGCAGCAAACTATAACCTCTAGCTACTTCACAAAATGCCTCTAGCACCTTAAGACAATGAAAATGACATATAGTTTGACTCCATTACTTTATTTGGAAATGTCTGCTTGCTCAAAAAAGTACAGTTTACTGGTAGAGAATACCAGGGGCTATAGGAAGAGAGCAACCTCACAGATTTGCCTTCTATAAATGTAACTGGGTACATCTACCATAGGCTGTTGTGTGAATTAGGTTAGCAAGTATGCTCTCAAAAGTCCAAATAAGTCTGCCTGACAAAAAAGATACAACAGAGCTTGTTTTTAAATATTGTTTTCTGGGAAATGTGATAAAACTGGTGGTGGTCTCAAAACTCTGCAGCTACTTCAGTAATGCTGATTAACTGCACCCATGTCAATTGGACTTTTAGTTGAGAAATGGTTCAGAGCCTACTTGCATCACCTTGGTGGATGAAACTGGATTGGTGAATGTGACCCAACGTGGCTCTTGTAGTTTTTGATACCATTGGCAATGTTATCATTCTAGACCAGACATGTCAAACTCGTGATATCACGTGATGTCACACAACGTATCGGGATGGTTTTTCCATTGCTGGCAATGGGGTGGGCGTGGCTTCTGGATGACGCATCCGGCCAACAGGCTGGCAGTTTGTCACCCCTGTTCTAGACTATCTGGCAAGGTTGGGGCTTTGGGAAGACTTTTATTATTCTTCTCAGGCTTGGATGGAGCTGGAAGACTATCACTGAACCCATGGTATCTCATATTATTTCATCTAGTTCCCTGTGCTTTTCAATATCTAATGAAACTGCTGAAGTATAATAATAATAATTTATTAAATTTATATGCTGCCCAGCTCCCAGTAATCCTGGTCAATTAGATCTTCTATAGGTTTGGAATGGATGACATCCAATTCTATTATTTCTTATCCAAGAAAACAATTGGTAACCTGGAATATTGGCAAGGATTAGTTTATGGCTAAAAGTTCCAACCTAATTTAGTGGATTCTTCTGAATGGAAAATCACGAAAGCACAGCATTTGAGAACAAATCTCCTGCACACTTAGAAACTGCCAAAAAATATTATACTGTATATTCCTTTTTTGTTACTTTAAATTTAATTTTGTTTTGAAGTTGTTGGTGTTATTTGCAAAACTTTGAGTTCTCTAGGAGATATTAGATTTACTTCATTTTCTTCCCCATTCTTTGAGAAAGCAGCAATGCAAGATAGCATAAAACGTTTGTACTCCAGGAAACCATGTTTCCCTGAAGCATGATTTTTATTTATTATGTACCACATCAATCCAAATTAGTTAAAAATGACCAGAAAACTGTGGTTCACCTAAACTAGAATAACAATAATACCTTGAATTTGTATATTAGAATAGTTTTGGGGATACTTTTAATATGATGGTTTTTATTCAAACAATGTCTTAATCAATTACATCCAATTTTAGTCCAATTTTGGGACTATGAAATAAAAGTAGATGTGTAGTAATTATCCTGACTACTGAGCTTTGATTGACCAGTTTGATTATCTGTGGTTGATAGAACTAGCCAAATTTGAACTGTAACACTTTCTCTGTTTTAGGTACTGAATAACAGCTAATAATTTTAATTTTATTAAAATATGGCAATATTTGCGGTTAGAAATACTTTGAATCAAAACAATGTATGAAGCGTGAAAAAATATGTAATACTGTGACAATCATTAAAATACCTACTTTTTTCCACAAGTTTACGTGAATAATGTGTAAAGAAAATGCCTGTAAATTTCATTATAAATGAGAGATCAGCTTCCAACAAGTGAAGTTGAGTTTCCTGATCAGGAGAAGATTTGGATTGCTTCAGTTCTTCTTCAGGCTTTTTTCTACATAATTTCCTACAGTAAGAAAAACTTTTATCAGCTAGATCTAAATGAGAAACTTCTAGTACATTGGCAGAAAAATTATGTTAATGAACAAACATTTTTATTTTTCCACAGGTTTTTTTATCTGAGTGAGAAAACCAAAGAAATGTATAAGAGGAATGGGTCTAGGACTGAACAAGAGATGTATTTTTTATATTACAAGTAAATGATGCATCATGTAACTTACAGTTCTTTCAATGCCCCAATGAGTACAACAATCCTCTTTGTATATATTTTTGAGAGGTCAAGTATCTTCCAGTTGAGATACTTGATGCCAAAACTCTTGCAAAACTCCTATGCAGAATATACTTAACTCATGTATCAATTTTACCAAATGAGATTTATCAAATTTTTGAGAATATTAATGCAAGTGTACTAAATGAGACTCTCTGTGGATTTCATTAAGGCTGAGCCATGGAATGCTCTATTTAAATTCTTACTAAAGCTGTTTTTATCCATAAGAGATCTGGTCACTCTAAATATGGATTCTCAGAGAATATGAAGTTGAATAAAAATTATTGCACAATGGGTTTTGTCCTACATTGATTTAAGAAACCAATTTAGTAGTATTAAATCATTAGGTATTTTGGTCAACTTATTATAACTAAACTTCACAGAACTCTTATGCTATTATGTTTTAATGTTTAATGTTCTCATATTTAAACAGTTCCAAAATGCCAAATTTAAAACTTCTTATCCTTTGGGGACGGAACAATCCAACTGCTGGCCGACCTTTTATGCAAAAGGCATAAGGTTTTCTATGCAGAAGGCTTTATAGACAACTATTTTGTATCTTGACTAACATTTTAATAAAATCTCTCTTACAAAATATATTTATATTCAACATATTTTGTACACTAAGATTTTGGCATGATCTTGAGAAAATTCTTAGTAATTGCAAGCCAAATACATTCAGCACCTGTATTCCCATCCCCCAAAGATCCAGATGGAGTTAACCCAATTGGCCTTTTGTAAAGCTCTGCAGACCTTGCCGTTTCCTCAAGCATTTTAGTCAGGAGAGTAGGCTAGCCATATTAGCCATATGTTTTTATCACTGGAATGTGTCACTTAACACCTTATTGCTTTAATTGTTGGGTCTTAATCTCTGTAGTCTGCCCAGGGTCACTTTGGAGATGGGTATCCATGTACATTATTTAGATAAATAAAATACCTACATGATCTCCATTGGTTCTGCCTCAGTATATGCCATTGACTGGTGTCGACTGTGTTCATATTCTTCTGTTAGCATTTTAATTTCTTCTTCCAAAGACTTAATTTCATCTTCGTAAGCCTGAAGTTCATCGCTATTCATTTTTTGGACACTTAATCTTCCTAAAAAGAAAACAAACTAATATAAATACAACAGTTAGGAAAAAGGGAGGAAAAAAATAAGTTGCCTAACTTAAAGATTTCAGTTTGTATCCATCAGTTTGCTGAAAATAAAAAAGCATTATTATTTGCTTTCTTTGAAGATGTTGTGGAAAAAAGCTATCCTTGAAATATCACTTAAAATTTATAACAATATAATTCTAAGGACTGTAGCAAATCATTAATGTGGGGATTAAAATATGAATTGTAACATTCCATGCACCTAGGTTCCAGAAGCAAAAGGATGGTTCAATTAAAATATAATGCAAGATAGTTTTGCCTGAAGCAAATTTAGGATCTACATATTGTATTTGTCTGCTCATATTCATTTTTACAAGCCTAAAATTGTTACCAGCATATATAGTTACATATATAGTTCCAGAAAATTACACTCCTAATTCAGTAGGGCAGTCTGTGTTTGCTGGACCACGGCTTCCAACTGGTGGCCAGTTTTGACAAACAGACAAGCAATATCTCAGGGGCTGCCACAAAGAAGAGGGAGTCAAGCTATTTTCCAAAGCGCCTGAAGGCAGGACAAGAAGCAACGGGTGGAAACTAATCAAAGAGAGAAGCAACCTAGAACTAAGGAGAAACTTCCTGACAGTTAGAACAATTAACCGGTGGAACAAACTGCCTCCAGAAGCGGTGAATGCGCCAACACCGGAAGTTTTTAAGAAGAAACTGGACAGCCATTTGTCCGAAATGGTATAGGGTTTCCTGCCTGAGCAGGGGGTTGGACTAGATGACCTCCAAGGTCCCTTCCAACTTTATCATTATTATTATTATTATTAAACAGTCCGAGATGTGACGCCAGTAACCTAGTCGCCTAATCTCGGGGATCCTCAGGAAACAGTTGGGAGTTTAAGGGAAAGAGGAGGAAGGGAAAAACACTCCTAGGTCTCTGTATTGTGTGAAGAAAGTCCTAGAAGCAAAACAATCCCTAGCGCGATATGCTCACAGACTACCTTGCCCGGGCCAGACCCCGCTGATCGTCTTCGTTAGCCCGCCGATCAAACTAACCGAAAGCCACACCTAAGTAGCCCCTACGCCGCTTCGAAAGACCCGCCAGAGAAAGCTGTCTCGGGCGCTGCCATTCTGCACAATACGGGGGGGGAAGAGAAGCGACGGAAAAAGACAAAAGATGCTTCGACACTGAACCGGTTGTAGGTCTTCTCCTTTCTGGGTCAATTTACATTAAATTTCATACAACTCGGCAAAAAACATTTCTGCAGCGCAGAATAATGTGCCTACAAACTCTTTTCTCCACTTCATCTCTCCCGTTTTAGTTTCATCCGATAGTTCGATCCAACTGTGCCGGGGAAGAATCCGACTATGAAAAGGAGAACATAGAGCTTCAAAATATTGAAGAGTGACTTAAAATCTGAACTTCCGCTTAAAAATATAAAGCTGCTCACAATTGTACAGATTAGACTCCGGGTTGGGTGGAGAAACGTATCGCGCCTAACTGAATTTATCGCCGCTGTATATTAGCACTTCAAAGTCTCCCTGACTTGCGTCTTTTTCAGGAGAATAGACATTTACGTTAAGCTAATGTTTCTCAATCTTGGCGATATTAATATAGGTGGACTTCAACTCCCAGAATTCCCCAGTTAGCATGGCGGAAGTGGTATGGGGGAAAGCAGGCGACGAGCAACAGCTGTGACCACGCTGGGCGCCGCGCTGGATTGCGAGCGGTTCCGAAGTGGCACGTCTCTAAGTGCAGGGTGGCGGTGGCTGGACGTGGTTTTTTTTAACCCCACCCCCCGCAGTATGTCCGATACTTTTAATGGTGAGTTACTATGCGGGTTAGTGCCCAGTTTCCCTCGTGGTGTTCAGACATGGCTCCCCGACCAAATGCAAGGTAAGGTTACCAGATCTGAAATGCAAAAAAACGGCGACCGCTAGAGAACAGCAGCGAGAGGGTGCACTATTTCTCTTCTGTGCTGCCACCTCAGAGTCGTCCGGATCTTTACAGTTCGCATTTGGTAGCCCAATGCGAATAGATAACTTGGAGAGTTTTAAATTTAAAAGGTGGGCTTTTATATAGCCCGAGTGAGGTCGTTCCAGCTTATAAAGGCAGCATCAGCAGGCTTCTGTCTGGTTGAGGCTACAGCAGGGGCGTCAAACTCACGGATGGGTGTGGCCAGGGTGGGTGTAGCCTACAGGGTGGGCGTGGATGTAGTAGGGGTGGCCTGTTGGGTGGGCTTGACCAGTTCTACATCGTTTGGGTCAAGGGTACCTGTGGGGGCCTTGGCAGGAGTGGGACAGATCTGAGGGTCTCTGGCAGAAGGGGGTCAGACCAGGGCAAGTGCCAAGGCATGGTACTCTGGCAGAGCCTCAGTGTTCCTCTCAGGCCACGCGGGGAGGGGGAGGCTGGATGGTGGTGCGGACTGCCTGGAGCCCTGGGCAGCAGAAGTCAAACGCCCAGGTTGGCCCTTGAGCACTCGCGGCACCAAGCCTAGCCCAATTCCCCAAGGGTTCGCCCAGCTGCACTTACCTCCTCCTCAAGGCTGCTGCTGCTGCTGTGCTTGCTCTCCTTAGCCAGGTTGTTCATGATGTGTACAAGGGCAAAGTCAGAGGGAGGCCCATTCCCTCTCCATGGGAGGAGACCCCGCTTTGTATCCAAAGCTTCCTTAGCAATAGGATGGGAGAACCCCAGGATAAGCTAGGAGGAAGGGGCAAGGGGATGGTGAAAGGGCAGCAGGGCATGACTAAGGCAGGACTTCCCTCATATCTTCCCTCTCCTTCTTTCCTTCCTTCCTTCCTTCCTTCCTTCCTTCCTTCCTTCCTTCCTTCCTTCCTTCCTTCCTTCCTTCCTAAGTACAGAGTGGTGGGAAAATATTTGAGTTGAGGGAGGGAGAAAAACAGGCAAGAAATGCAGCTGGGGAAGTGTTATCCTTCGTGAGGAATGAAGAAATGCACCATCGCCTGGAAGTGGCCAGCACATGGCCACATATCTGGCTTGGTGGCCTCTAGGGGAGGGGTTGCCATGAACAGCGTGAGAGTCAACATTACCTGCTCAATGCCGCTCAGCCTACCTGGTTTCGGCAGGCAGCAAAGCGCTCTCCTCACAGCGCCAAGAGGCTGAGCCAGGCGTTGCGAATCTGAAAAGAAGCGCAGCGACACCCAGCCCCCAGCCTGCCTGGTTTCAGCAGGCAGCGGGGTGCTTTCCTCACAGCACCGAGAGGCTGAACCGGATGGTGCAAATCCAAAAAAGTGCAATGCCGCCCAGCCTGCCTGATATTGGCAGGCAGCGGGGTGCTCTCCTCACAGCACCGAGAGGCTGCACCAGGCAGCACATCTAAAAACAAGTGCGAGGCCGCCCAGCTCCCAGCCTGCCGGTTTCGGCAGGCAAGGGACACTCTCCTCACAGTGCCAAGAGCTGAACTGGATGGCGCAAATCTGATGAGAAGTGCAATGCTGCCTAGCCCCCAGCCTGCCCAGTTTCAGCAGGCAGCAAGGTGCAAAGCTGGTGAGCTTTGCATTGCCCGGCTCAACCTCTCAGCGGTATGAGGAGAGCGCCCCGCTGCCTGCCGAAAACCCTCCCCCAGAGTCCATCAAGCCGGATATGTGAAGTAGGTGAGGGCCATTTGCTGGCCACTTCCAGGTGATGGTGCATTTCTTCATTCCTCACAAAGGGTGACACCTTCCAGCATGCAACCAGAGGGCGGGGCCGACGCAGCAGGAGCGGGTTCCTCGCTGTTTCCAGATGGCCTTGTGGAGCTAAGACTGAATGCGTTTCAGCATAGATGGTCATCACAAAATTGTACATTGGCTCCTGGCCAGCCTGGGCCAGGGCCAAGGCAGTGGGGGCTGTTCCCTCACTGTTTCCAGGCTGGCTTTGCGGGCCACATGAAACCACTTTGCGGGCTGCATCCGGTCCGCGGGCCTTATGTTTGACATGTCTGGGCTATAGCCTCAAAAACACTTGCTGTGGACTTTCTGACAATTTTAAAACCTGAAGGGCTCAGTTTTGAAAAGGTGTGCTTCAGAGCAAGGTTGATGACTTCTAAAGGAGAATTTTTGTAGCTCTGGGTTGACATGAAGGGTCCTTAGCGCTCTCTGAGTTTACTTGTTTTCTTGCAGACATTTCATTACCCAAACTAGGAAACATCATCAGTGCTGATGATTTGGGTAATGAAATGTCTATAAGAAAATAAGCAAGCTCAGAGAGCACCAATACGCACCCCTTATTGATGACTTCTGCTAAAATTTTAAACTGTTGAAGATTTGAATAGGTTGAGCTAATTACTCTGTTTAGAATTCTGTTTCAAGACTAGGATGCTTTTTATTTTATTTATGTATAAATCTGTATGCTGCCTATCTCTCCCAAAGACGACTCCAGGCGACTTACAACCAAATAAAAGCAACATGATAAAACATTAAAAACATTAAAATATTTGCATTTGAAAGATATTAAAAAGCCAATTTATTTATTCTGTTTATGTGAATGATCTTCTAAAATTATTCTTTTAATGCCCCAGCCTCCCTCTTATCTTGAATTGTGGCTGTCCTTCGGGCATGTCTCCTCTTTCCTGTTTTGTTTCCATTATTTTAACTTAAGTTCCAAAACCTATATATAGTTCATTCATAACAGTAAACTAAATCTGTTAAAGCAATTCTGAATGTTGAATGGAGTTTTCTTCTCTTCCTGGTCACAGAAAGAAGGGGTGGTCAAGCTGGTATTTTGTTTGAGGCTCTTTCTGTTTATATGTATAGCCAGGGCTTTTTTTTTTTTTTTTTAGAAAAAAAGCATTGTATAGCATTGATTTATGGTTAATGTGTAATGTAGTGCAAAAGTGATGCAACAAGGCTATATCATCAGTAATGTTGTTTATAACACAGAGTATCATATTTATTGTTATCAGGTAGCTAAGGTTTAGAAAATTATCAAACAACAAATATTAAAGTGGGGATCTTACAAAACTATGAACTGGACTGCTCTGAAGGTTTTTTGTACCACAGTAATTCTTAATATTGTTCAAAATATTTTGTTATTATTATGCACTTGTCATTTTACAGAAAGGTTGTAGCTGCAAGGACAATACCTTGGACATTTGTTGAATTTTTGAATATGGAACAAATCTCATTCGTTAGAAGACTATACATTGGAGGACTTGGCCATTCAGTTTCTGAAGATGAACTGTATGAAAGATTTAGCAAGTTTGGAAATGTTACAGAGACTGAAATCATTAGCCGGAAGGATGAGCATGGTAATACTTTAAAATTGCCTGAAAATAATTTCATCTACTTTGTAGTGGCAGTTCTAGGCTGCAGTCAGGAATAAACTCTATTGATCAGATATATTGCTAAGAAAAATCTATGCTCAATTCTACTGTAACTTATTTTTTGTTTTCCTTTTGTCAGTGATCACTTATTTGTTTTAAACAATTTGAAAATCAGTTTGTTTTTTCTTTTTTGAATAATCAGATTGTTATTTTTAAACAGGGAACCCTACCAAAACATTTGCATATCTTAACATCCTCCTTTCAGAGAAAGCACTTAAAAAATGTAAGTACACAAACTGTGAATGCTGTTTTTGGTTCTTGTGTATATCATTATCTGTACCAAAACTGGTTAATCATACTGAAATCTGTAAACAGAAGAAGTCTGATGAAGTTCATAACTAATATTCTTTAGTTGTATTGTTGAACTTTTAATCAGTAGATTATTTATCTTTAGTTTTAGCAACAAGTCACCTTAAACATTTCTGTATTTTTGGGTGTCCTATTGATAAGGGTAGGACAGTCTCATACACATACCTTTCAAATAACCTTCTAATACAGGGGTCCCCAGCCCATGGGCCATGGCCCCGTACCAGGCCATGGCCTATTCGCAACTGGACCTTTCAAGCGGCGGGCACATGCATGCAGATCAACTTGTGCAAACAGCAGGACGGCGCACGTGCAAATGTGCGTGCAGCTCAACTTGCACAAATTGAGCTGCACACACATGCACACCAGCCCGCTGATTGTGCTGCCCAGTTCTCCTCTCCCCTCTCCCCACAAGGCTGCCAAGCTGCAAAGGTTAGAGACCGTTGCTCTAACACACTGTTTGCCGCACCATCTCCAATATTTTACCTGCATGTCTTATGTGGTCATGTTCCACCCTACTCCTCACTAATGCATTTTTTATGGATATCAGCTTTTCAAGCATGCTTAAACAGTTGTCCTTCAAAAATCTGAAATATTGTCTTCATTTTTGTTGACTGAGTTATCATGCTAGGCATTCTCCTATTCTCCAAACGAGAAAATATCCCATGAGATTGAATCCAGCACCATATTTCCCAAATGACTGCTATACCACACTGGTGTTTGTTCTTCTCTTTGAGACATCCTAGAACTTGTGGTTTATAATGTTTTAATAATGAGCAGAATAACCATTTGGTATTTTTTTTGTCTTTAAAGGTATATCAGTTTTAAATAAGACAAAATGGAAAGGAGGGACACTGCAAATCGAATTAGCAAAAGAGAGCTTTTTACACAGGTAGTACTTAGCATATTGTATACAGTTTCTGGTGAAAACCATTGAGTTCTGCACACATGTGAGCAAATAAAGTGAAGAATAGAAGAGGAGACTTGCTTGTGTGTTTAAAGTTCTCAGTGTGATGTTAGATTTTACAATGAGTTTTAACAAAACATTAGAAAAATATAGTGAATGTTGTATGAATGACATTGGAGATATTTAACGTGAACGGTACCTTTCACACTGGCAGTGAAAACTTGATAGCAAATATGACTGCTGCAGAAACAAAGGACTGCTTCAAAGTAGAGCCTGTTATATAGAGTGAGAAAGGGAAGGAAATGATCAATTTGGAATATTATTGCTATCCATAGAACCTGTTTGTAAAACACAGCAGTTGCTGAAATTTTCTGGTTTTAGCTTATATATATATATATATATATATATATATATATATATATATATATATATGAAATTCTTGGATTACTTGTGAATTTGCCTAAATAGAACGACTAAGCTGGATGAAACCTGGCAGTTGATATGTGTTCATTTGTGGGGAAGGAAGGAATTTGCATGAAATGAAGCTTGCAAGATTACAATAGAGAGAAGAGTCCAAGTGCAAAATACAGTGGAAATTATACACTATGACTTGAGAATAGAGAATTGAGAAAATCTTTCTCCTTTCTAATTGTGGACTTAAACTTGCACTTTGTTCCCAAAGAAATCTATTTTATTTTTAGCAAACTCATTTAGGGGATGCAAATTGAAGTGAGCGTTATTGTGAATTGACACAACTCTTATTGTTACAATTGTGAAAGACAGAAGCTCTTGGTAATTTTCACAAATCACACAGATATCAGGCAGTAGGTCCCAATCTACCTCCTATCCACTCCTAAGACAAGTTGTAATGTTGTAAAGTGGAAGGGATTACCATGGAAATATGAAAGGTCTTTTCATTTATTTTGTTTTGCTTTCTCTCTCTGTTTAATTAGTACTAAACTGCAATCCTGTTCTGTTATGCAGACTAGCACGGGAGCGCCAAGAGGCTAGTGTGACAAAGGAAAAGACAAATTATAATGGTATGACAGATATTCAAGAATCTCTGAAGAAATCTGGAGTTATAGATTACTGTGTGAAAGCAGTACCAGGAACAGAAATACCAAATCATAAGGTATAATAAAGATATGGGAAAGAGTTGCAATATATTGTTCCTTCACATTAATGGGCTAAATTCAAAATGTTATTGCTTAGTTTTAAAAAAAATATTTAAAATTGCTACATTGCTTAAATACTTTCTTTTTGTAAAGTTTTTTTTCAAAGTTATTGCAAACTTTGAAAGTTGTTTGCAAACAGTTTTGTAAAAATTATTGCGAACATCCCCCCAAAATAATACTTATTTTATTTGTTTTTATAGGACTGGGTGGTTAGTAAATTTGGCAGAGTTTTACCTATCCTTCACCTGAAAGATCAACACAAAAGCAAAATATCCTTTTCTGCAAGTTTTTACCGTCCCAATTCTTATTATTCACTAAACAGTAGTATTTCAGGAGCATTATCTTACTGCCTATGTAAGAAAAAAATACCAGACCAGTATAACCAATTGAAATATCTGTTGAGTGGCAATGGAAATTTATAAAAAGACATTAATAGTTCTGTTGAATTTCACTCCACTTGCAGGAATTAATCATTAGATTTACCATGAAGTTAATAAGAAATAAAAAATATCAGATAATTAATATTAATTGAAGAAAATAGTCATGTCAAAGAATCCCATCAACTGCAATGATTCAAGAACACATCCTGTAGACAGAAGCAGTACTCAAATTCTGGCATTTCCTTCTCCTTTCCATCTAATGGTCATAAGCTGCTTAGCCCTCTCTTTTGAGTGAGTGTTCACTCATCTTTTGTTATTGAAACCATCAGATTTGATATGTTTTTCATTGACTGGATGCTAATTCTCACATTTTCATACAGAAAATTTCTTAACTTTTTTAAAAAAGATCCTTATGATTTAGATAGGATATCTTTGTACTCTATTAACATTTGTAATCATGTGCATTCAAACAATCAAGCTGTTGGATGCACTTTAAGGGGCATGGCTTATTACATTTTTAATGCCATTAGATGATGATGTCAATGGCTATTATGTTCTAATTTTGCTTTGGAAGCCTAAATATGGTTCACTGCTGTTCTGCTTCAGCTAAAAGCAGGCACACACCATAAAATGGTGGGTTTTATTAAACGTAATTTCTAGATTGCATATTATTTTTTTTTGTTAGCATTTATCTGCAGGTCAATATGCCTGCTTGTTTTTGCACTGTGCTCACCTGGATCTTAACAACAAAGGGTGTGATGCAGTGAGTGATTTTGTTTATCAGTCAGTTTGTTGCAGAGCCTGACACTGAATCAAACTGAGAGGGAGTGAATGGCCAAAGGTCACCAATTAAGCTTCCATGAATAAGGAAGGACTAAAATTTGGGTCTCTGCTTCTAGTCTAGCACTTTAACAATTATACTGCAGTGGTTTTCTTTTCTATCAGACAGATAACAACCTGTTAATATATCACAACTTGAACCAGGCTGCCTTCTTTTATATAATTGCTTTCCTTTTTGGATACAACCAAGATCTAGATATAAATATAGATCTTTATATATCTTTCCATTTACAAGTAGTCCTCGACTTATTATCACAACTGAGTCCAAAATTTCTGTTGCTAAGCAAGATAGTTGTTAAGTGAGTTTTGCCCCATTTTGTGACCTTTCTTGTCATAGTTGTTAAGTGAATCATTGCAGTTGTTAAATTAGTAACATCATTAAGTGAATCTGGCTTCCCCCATTGACTTTGCTTGTCAGACAGTCACAAAAGGTGATCAGATGATCCTGGGACAGTTTCACCATCATAAATATGAGTCAGTTGCCAAGTGTCTTGAATTTTGATCACATGACCATGGGGATACTGCAACGGTCATGTGAAAAATGGTCATAAGTCACTTTTTTCAGTGCCATTGTAACTTCAAATGGTCACTAACTGAAATCTTGTAAGTCGAGGACTACCTGTGCAGGATTTCATTAAAATAAATGCTCTTGTCTTTTATTTTTTAAAAACTCTCTAGAACATCTGAACTTTTACTTGTAGAGTGGTATTTACATGTTCCTTAATTCAAAAATTAACATAATGAAATATGACCCTTCCAAATATTGCCAGAACCTTAAAAAACTAGATCAAGAACCTATAGATTCAGTTCCCATTTCACAGCTCACTTGGCATCTGGAAGAAGCTGACAGTATTATGAGCAAGAAACGGCAAGGGCAATTCCCTGAAGCTAAGAAGCCATCAAAAAAGAAAATAAAAATACAGGACAGTGACAGCCTAAGCAAAGTTGAATCAAACCCAGCTAATGTTGTCCTTGCAAAACAAATTCAGAACTGCACCTCTAACTCCAAGAAGCAAGCTAATCAGCACTCTTCAGGTCAAAAGCTTAAAGCTGGAACCACGAGTTCTAGGCACATAAAAAGCCTGTGTGGTGATGACATAGATTCAGAAGAAGAAATCAGAGCGATTGAAGCAAGCGAGAGAAAAAAGCACAAAGGTAATTGTACTACTGCACTTGAGGATAATATGGAAGTTGTCGGTGATGACTTTAAGCTGAAATACAATACTCATTGGTCTCTACGGAAAGCAAACAAGCATATAGCCCAAGCATGCAGTGGACTACTAAGGCCTGCAGAAAATGAATCTGATTATGATTCAGTTGACACTGATGAAATTATAGCTGTGACTAAATTATCTCATGACAAAGAGAGAAATGAATCTCTACAGGGCTCTAAGGAAACAGAAGAGCAGAATGATGGCCAGCCAAAAAGAACCATCCATGCTGAAAGTTCTCCATCTTCTGGTTCAAAAAGGTCCAAAGCAGCAGAAGAAAAAAGAGCAGAATCTGAAAAACCATCAGATGCACAAGCTACTCTGGACAGATGCAGAACTGAGAGTGAGGAAAACTCAAATTCGTGTTCAGACACAAGTGAGTCTGAAGGGGATGAGAATTATGAATCCATGATTCAAAGTGGCTTCCGATTAGATCTTACCTTAGAAGACTTAGAGAAATTAGCTGGTGAAAGTAGTGAAGATTCAGAGGAAGATAACAAAATACTTCAAAGTACCAATCAATCACAAACTAATTACTGCCCAGGTAGTAAAACTGGTACTGCCCCAGAGACACCCACAATTTCCACCACTTCCAAAAAATGTATTTGCCCTGAAGAAATACTTGCTGCCATTTTAAAAGAAGAGAGATTTGACAAAGATGATTTGAAACGAAAACAGGCAAAAGGGTACATTCAACCTTTCAAAGGCCTGGGGTCACTTATCGGAGTATCGCCCGAGAGCGAGTCGGATGTCAATGTGCATGAAAAGAAACAGTCTTCTTTTGAACTTGAAGTGGAGTCTCTGAAAAGTGTTACAGAAGTAGAATATTCCAGTTTGACAAGTAAGAAACTTAACTCCAAACCACTGTCTTTGAAAGACTTGGACTTGGACATTCCCATAGTAGGAGGTCTTTCTAGAAACTCAAGTGAACCTTCTGACCACCTCCCTGGCAGTATTGGAAAAGCAGAGAAAATAAGCCATGATGTAAGTATTATGCCTGGAAGTGAACCCACCAAACATGGGAAGTCTGTTTCCAAGGGACCAACAACTTCCAGTCTTACACAGAATAAAGATTTAAATGGCTCTCTGAAAAATGAAGGTGGCTATTCAGCTTCTCCCAGAAAAACAAAGAAATCAGATAATGTGGGAATACAACTGGAGGACAACGAGAAAAGATTGGCTGCCATACAAGAAAGGCAGAAAGAATGGGAGCTCCAGAAAATAATTATACAGGAAGCTCTGACCAGCCAGGTAATTTTGTTTCATTTGCCTATTTACTTCATTTCTCTTATTTATTTCAGTCGATTAGAGCTGGAAGGAATTGTACAGTGCTTATATAAGTTGGAACTTAAACAAAGAGGAATAGAGCAATATTTGTTTGTTTATGTGGAATAATTCTTGTAGTTCATCATAATCTGAATTTTAAAGTAAACAGGACTATAAGTAAAATATATAAATATCATTTCAATAATGCTACATTCCTAATGTACTGAAACTTAAGCACGTTTGCTAGAAAGTAAATGTGACTGAACATAGTGGCAACATTTGGAGATCAACAAAACAAAGATAAATTGCACTTAACTATTTCCATCTGTCAATCAGCACAGGTTGTCAGATTCTTAGCAAATCATTCAGTTGCAAGATACTTCTCATCTCTGTGGCAGTGAGAGTTGATACAAAATTGAATAGAAAAGAGAATGACTTATATAAAAGAAATTGAGATGGCTTAGTTGAGATATAGGAAGAAAGAATGAATGAAGATTGAATCATAAATGAAGTTTGTGAAGAGTGATAGGATGGTGAAGATTGGTGAAATTTGTGATTGTATGGAATGAGCTCTTTGAAAAGAAACAAATAAATTTAAAGAACAAAAGGTTATATATAAAACTATGTGGTTTTGATAGAAGCTAAGTTAGATAGGCATGGAGAGGGATAATGAATAATTTTGGTATAAAATAGATTTAGCCGTATATTTAGCTGTACAAGATAGTTAGCTTATCTTGTACCTTTAACTTCTTTGTCCTACTGTTTCTTATTCTGCTTTTGCAGTTATAATGTTGCTTCCCAAAGGGAATAGAATGATGGGTATGTATGTATGAATCTAATGAATTTGAGCCTGATCCACAAAAAAATTATGATTCTTATATTTTAAGATGCCACAAGATCTTTTATTGATGGTTGCAGCTCTGTTTCTTTTCCTTCCTTTGTTTTATACCATTTATGTCCCTAATAATCCCTAGTTAATTGTTAATGTAATTTTAGCAAATTCAGTCAACAAATAAACAGAAGCACATCGTGTTTGATTCAGATACTGAAAATGAAGTACAAGAGCATACTGAAAACGAGTCTTCAGAAAAGATCTCAGTAAAGGTGAGCAAATTAGAAGGGAATTTATTCTATCCTTAGATATTATGTTTACATCTCCACAAAGATTTTCTGTAGCTAGTGGTGAAGAAAAAAATGCACATGTCCACTTATTTTAAATTATAGTTTAATTTATAAATTATAGTACCGCTCAAAGATACAGTCAAAAATTTAAAAAGAAAAAGGGAAAAAAATAAGCTTACAATTAATACAGGTACTATAGAAGAGCAGAGGCTAAGTTACCAAAGACGCAAGTAAATATAAGATAACTTAATCCAGTTACTTAACAAAATGTAGCACTGGTACACTGCACTGCTACCCTGTTGTTAAAGTAGTAACACTGTTTAACAACAGGCCTGTTCTCCCAAGTTGGGGTGAAGAAATTCTGCAAGATTCCGTTCAATTAAGTTGGATATTATTTGAGTTTTTCTTTTAAAACGCAACAGAAAAAATCTGTTAGTTTCAGCAAATAGTTTAAGTGACAAGCAGCTGCCATCTATCTCAGGAACCATTACCATCCTATTTATGGTGGAAGAGAATGGCTTGCGCTATGGTAAAGGGAGGAAGAAAAGAGGTTTTTGGGAGAAAAATGATGTAACCGGGGGAGTACTTGCTAAAAACATTTGGTGTTACCCTGAAAAAGAGCTTGTTCAAATGAAATGTTTGTTCATTACTGCACCCAAGGAATTCACCCCCAAAACTTCTGGGAAGCTGTTTGACAGCAGCGATGAAGACTCAGACACCGCAGCTGATGAAAATGATCGGTTCAAAATCAAACCTCAGTTTGAGGGCAAAGCTGGAGAGAAGGTTGGTATGCTTATTTAGTGTATTATTTTCATGGCTTCTTATAATTCCGGAATAATTTATCTGCATGTAGAAGACTTGCACAGCCATATATTTTGGTGTTTAAGCCAGGCAGAGGGAATCTGTGGCTCTCAGAGTGTTCCTAATATTGTGTAAGTTTCCAGCAGTTTTATCCAGCATGTAAGCATCCGGAAAGTCACATGCTTCTGCCTCTAAGCTCCAGGTATAAATCTTGTTTGTTTCATCAGTTTTTCTCCTACATCGTGTAGCATTTTTCTATAAGCCAATCTTTGACTACAATGAACATTTTTTTTTTGTCCCTTGGTTTCTCTTTACTTTATGGTACCATATTTTCTTGGAAGAAATAAAAAATATCCCAAAGGTGCTTTTCAAAAGGCAACTGGACTGTTCTTTTCTTTTTCTTGAAAACGTTTCACTTCTCATCCAAGAAGCTTCTTCGGTTCATTCCCTCAGTTCCAGAACTGAAGAACCTTCTTGGATTGAGAAGTGAAACATTTTCAAGGAAAAAAAAACAAGAAAATCCAGTTGCCTTTGAAAAGCATCTTTGAGACAACCATGACCTGGATGATTGAGAATCTCCACAGAAAAGAAGTAAAGGAGAAAAATGAGAAGGGGCAAACCTGAAAGAGTTTCCCAAGGATAAAAAAAAGTGTTTATGTTTATAACTTTGGTTTACCAAGGGAAGTTCAAGAGGAAAACCAAGAAAACCCCTTTATAAAAATGGATATTATAGTACAAAATAATTAAATTCAAACAGTAATAATAATAATTTTTTATTTTGCGGTCACAGACCAAAATGCGAGTGCAACAAAAGAAAACACAAAAAAAATACAATCGCAAACAATTAACACCAGAAGCCTGGGCTAAAGGGAATTACAACATTCTCCTCTAATAGCTACAGCTCTTAAAAGAAATTTAGAAACCAGAGAAGTAATATAGGAGGAGCCATCCCCTAGACAATATAAGACCAAATTACTAACATTAGAACCAGAGGGATCAATTCCAAGGAGAGGCAATAATTTAATTCTGGCTGTGTTACACATAGGGCAGTATGATAAGACATGCTCCACAGTTTCAACTTCAGCCCTATCACAGGGGCATAGTCGCTCACTAAACGGGAGCCTCTTGAATCGCCCGTCGAGTAATGCTGAGGGCAAGACACTGAAACGGGCTAGGCCAGGGGTAGGCAACCTCGGCTCTTTTATGACTCGTGGACTTCAACTCCCAGAATTCCTGGTAAAAATTAAATCCCCCAAATAAAGGACAAAAGTAAGTTTTTTGAAAAATAAATGTAAAAGACAGCTTTCTCAAATAAAAGATTGTCCTTTATAATAAAAGATGTGTGGTCACTTTACGTACATTACTCAAGTTTTTGGGAACTTGATTACTTCATTTAAATCTGTTCTGGAAAATAATTGCAATAAAGAATATAATCCCTCTGTTACACTTCCTTGTTGCAGCTTATGCGTCTACAGTCACATTTTGGCACAGATGAAAGATTTCGTATGGATGCTCATTTCCTTGAAAGTGATAGCGATCAGGAAGGTAAGATATACAGTATTTTGTTGATTGCTAATAGAATGCTTGTAAGACTTCGTTATAGTAATTTTTTTTCTATAATTATTTTGAATATTTGTTTCCTATTAATTCCTCTGCATGGATCAAAAGGTCCATCAAAAACATTTTACACATGACCTAAGGTATAGAGTAGAACATATACCCTTTTCAAGGTTAAATATGTTTCCCTTGAAAAATGAAAAAAACCCACTAAGTATATTAGTATATTTACATCTATACTTTTCATACTTTGTACATAACAGAGACTAACTCAAAATATAAAAAGGTATTTCACAGAATCTCTTAGAAACATCTTCCACTGTAAACTGGAAGTAATGAAAAATGCTTGAAGGTGGATATGTGTCTAATTATATGTGTTAGGCTATGGATTATTTTAGAAGGTGACCTGACACCTTCTAGTTGTTTGGAGGCTATATCTCCTGTATTGCATTACTATTGGCATAGAGATATTACTATATCTCTGGAGAGCCAGCTGTTAAGGTCCGAGTCTTGAAACCAAGATACAATGAATTCTAGTCCTACCTTAGGCATGAAAGCCAGCTGTGTGTGACTTTGAGCCAATCACTCTCTCTTAGCCCAACCTACCTTACAGGGTCTTTATTGTGTGGGGGAAATAGGAGGAAGAGGAAGGGATATTAGGTATGTTTGCCACCTTGAGTTGTACTATGTATGTATAATAAATAGATGGGATAAAAATCTCATAACAATAGTAATAATAATATATAGACAATGGATAGTGATTCTTGAGGACCTATCTTTGATTTGCAAAATAGAAATAGGCACCTTAAATTAAACCTAACCAAACTATGAAGAAAATATATCCAGAAGGGGGAAATTGGTTTGGATGTAACAAATTTGATTTCTTCATTGTACAAAATAGTTGCAGTGAGAATCAGACTTCCATGCATTCATTCTCCTTTCTTAAGCATAGATAATGGGGAAGTTGAAGCTAACCTTAAAGAAAATACTTTTGGACAATGAAATATAGTTTAATTAACTTAGATAAATTTGGAGGTGTTTATGTCTGAATCTGCTTTGCATTCAGATTCATAAGGAAATACAGTGTCCTGACACAGCCAGTTTGTTAAACCTGGGCAGTGACTGAATCTATTAATTTAAACTTAAAAGCAAGCCACAATTGACACAAATGTGGCTGCAAATCAGTGTCAATCTATTTTGTATTTTAATAAGTAATCCTTCAAGTTAAGCTTGGTTCAAGGTGATCAAATTCTATTTGTTGTTTTGGTCATAGATCAATATAAATAACAGCAATAATAATTACAACTATTTCAGGAGTAATACTGAAACCAGTGAGATAATAAAAAAATACCTAAAATCTAGAATTACTAACCCAATACCATAATATAAAAGCACTAAGTTCTTTTAACATACAGGACTATAATTTTTTGGTTTTTGATCCAAGTACTCATGTTCTCTGTCTTACACAACTTTTGAGCTGGTTCAGAGTCGTGTGTTAAAATAATGTATGATTCGATGTAATGGTTGAATGCAATTGGTATTGGTTCTGTGAAGTCAGTAACTAACTCCGTTCTATTTTTTTCCTGTTAGAGGAATCAAAGAAATCAGTAACAGAGGAAGAAGAGGAACTTTCTTTAGAAAAGAAGAAGAATCTTGAGATCTTGAAAAATCTTCTACATATTGATGTAGACCCTCCCAAACGTAAGAAGCTAACTGCAGAAGGCCAGAAATTCAGGTATGAAAATTACTTTAGTAGAAAAATTAAGGGCAAATTTATATTTGTATAAATTATCATTATTTTCATAGTACTTCCCCAAGTTAAACACTAATTAATCTAGCATTGCAGGCAAGCTTTGATAGGTACTGAAACTGTGGATCTAATAAGGATGTCAAACTGGTGGCCCACAGGCCAGATGCGTCACATACAGGCCACTCCCACCCACCTCCGCAAAGGCAAAAAAAATCACAATACGTCACACAATACGTGAAGCAGTGGTTCTCAACCTTTTTAATGCCGCAACCCCCAACTGGTCGTAAGTCAACGACTATTCAACTGGTCGTAAGTCGAGGACTACTCAACTGGTGCAGCACCGTTTGCGGACTGGGACTTTTGGCGGGCTCAGCAGGGCAGAGACAGCCTGGACAATTCCTATTGGCTTTTGAAAGCCAATAGAATTAGACTCTATTCAAGAAAGTCTGTTCTATTGGCTTTCAAAAGCCAAGAGAATAAAAGGGAGGAGCACAGCTAAGGAAAAGGGGAAAAAAATGGTGTACTGCGTTGTTTGGCGACCCCCGTGAAATGGTCGTTCGACCCCAAATGGGGTCCCGATCCACAGGTTGAGAACCACTGACATGAAGTGACATGATTGAGTTTGACACCCATGATCTAAGATGATGAAATATAAAGCATTTAACCCTGATTTGAGCTTATTTATTATTTTAATACTGTAAGATTTTAGACTGTTAAACCATCCCAATTCCTCCTGACATAGGGAAGCATAAATAATTAAATAATTGCAATCCTTTCTAATAATATAACCACTCATGTAAAAGCTAATTATTTCTTGACACTTATAGAAAAATACATCTTTAGCTGATTGTGAGCAAAGATAGCATAAGGTTGCTAATTCAGTTTATAATCCTAAACCTTTTTTTCTCAGATTAAGTGCATTCAATTTAATGGGATTACTTCTAAGTAGAAATGTAGATTGTTATGCAGATTTTTTTCAAAATTATTTGACATTTTATTTATATATAGTTTGCATTTCAACATATTTAGAAATGTTGTCATAGAATAAAAAATTTTATCCCATGGAATTTTTATGGTATCTAGATTTACGTAAGGATGCTTTACTATTATATTATTATCATTATATTATTGTAATTATTATTATTATTAAAATATTATTTATTTATAGAGATATGAATACCTTACGCTATGACCCCACAAGGCAAGATCATGCAGTATTTGAAAAAAAGCCAGCTAATGCTGAAAAAGAGAGGTGATGATTCTGAACTATGCCTGTCTTTTCATTGACCTGTTTACTATTTCAACTCTGATTGTTTAAAGTCAAATATTTATTTTATTCAGCAAATGAATAAAACATTTCAGTTTTTAATTAAGAATTGGAATGAAAGAACAAGAGAAAAATATTTACTTTAGATGGGTTTCAGAAAGAAGTTGCAATATTTAAATGTCTCTTAATTGTGAAGACTTCTAAGAGTGATGGATTTCTTTTTTAGAAGAAATATTGGTCATCCCTTAGATGTTGAAATTAAATGTGATGCTTTTGCTGAATTGGATTATAAACCAATACAAGTATTTTACTATGTGAAAAAATAACCCACGTTAGGGTTATTGTGTTATACCTTACTGAGATTTATATACTGAATGCATTAACAAAATGGATTGTGGAAGCATCTGAATTTATATTTCTTTGGTGTAAGCATGTGATATAAATTACTAATATAAAATTATATATCTGATCAGTTAAATATTAGCAATTAACACATCCTTATTTCCGTCAAATAGTAAAGCTAAAAAGAAGAAGAAGAAAGAAGAAGCTCAGAAACTGCCTGAGGTGTCTAAAGATACATTTTACAATGTCGCCGTGGACTTAAAAGAAGCCCTTGGATCTACAAAACAGGATGAAAAAACAGAAATAATATCATGGGACCAGCATGATGATGCTGAACAAACCCCTTCAACTGATATACCAAAATTCAGTGCTGAAAAACAAGACGGAAACGGGGGTTTTACCTTTTCCTTTTTTGGTGATGAAGTGGCGAGATCACCTATTAAAGAAGGTGTCTTTACCTATTCTAAACCATAGTTTCAGTATCTCAAACATACGTTTCTGAATTAACACCCTTTGAGACCTGACCACTGGGTTGCAATTTGTGTGGGTCTTTTCTTTAAAGAACAGAGTGGTTTTATTTTGATGACGGATGAATAGAAATATGTTATACCAGTTCTGTACTACCTGCCCGGATTGCTAGGCTTAATGGATGGAAATGATCCATAATATTCCAGATTTGCTCACATGTAAAAGTTGCTTCTATCTTTTATTTCTACAGAACTTTAATATTACCCAGAAATATTATAAACATACCAGGACCATCAGGAATATATGCTCAACAGCTTTTCCATGGTTTTTACAGTGGTAACAGATTGAAGCCACTGGTATCTACATATTACCTTTCAGTATTTAAACCAGTATTCCCCCACCTTTCTGGCTTGGCGGCTTGGTGTAGTGGTGGGGAGGAAAGGGGATGGTTTTGTGGGGGGGCAGGCATGCGTGCACATGCATGCGCGCACACAACTTCATTTGTGTAAGTGGCGAGTGCACATGCCCACCGCTTACACAAGTAGGGCTGTGCGCACATATGCACGCACCGGCCTGCCATTCACACGGCCTGGTTGAGAATAGGCCATGGCTGAGTAGTGGGCCATGGGCCACAGGTTGGAGACCCCTGATTTAAACCATATGACCAGTTGATTGGGAGCACAAAATGGAAGGAATAATATATTTAAATCTGACTTGTGAATTTACCTGAGCTATCTATGAGAACATAAGGTTCAACAGCCTGCCTTGTGAAATGATGAGTTCTTCACTGAAGGTTTTAGTAAGAAACTGGAAGCTCATCTGTTGGAAATAACACAGTCAATCCTGCACTGAGTAGAGGGTAGATGACTTCCCAGGTCACAACCAACTTTTAAATTCCATTTGGACCTGTCGGTGTGATTCAGCACAACATCTTAGTTATTAAGGTTTATGATTTTGTTTTCTAGGCAGCTAAAAATATTTATTTACTCATTTATTTATTTCATTTTATTTGCTGCCCATCTTGCCGTGGGGCTATTCTGGGTGGCTTACAATAGTAAAACAGAAAAAAATGATAAATGTAAAAATAATAAGTAAAGGAATAAAACAATAAAAATAAACACATTGATATAAATATGTTGACTATTCATAACCAATAATATGCTAAACCAGCTTTTGAGTCCAATATCTAAGAAACAAATTAATATGTAATAACCTGGGAACTAATTATTTCAATTTGCAATAGTGTCCTGCTTTACAAAAAGCATTTTCAATATCAGAATTCTTTCTAAATACCATTTATATTGTAGATGATGTGGTTGTAAAGCAAGACATCAAGAGCCTGGACCTGATTTTACAACCATTTTTTACTGTGCTTTTTAAGTGAATCACTGTGGTTGTTAGGCTAATCACATGGGTGTTGGACTAATCACATGGTTGTTAAGTGAATCCACCTTCCCCAATTGATGTTTTTTTGTCAGAAATCAGTTTTGAAGGCTGCAAACCATGATCACATGATCACAGGACTCTGCAAATGCAAGCCAGTTGCCAAGTGTGCAATTTGTGGTCATGTGAACATGGGGATAGTGCAACCATCATAAATGTGAAGACGGGTTGTAATCACTTTTTGTAAATTTGAACTATTGTTAAGCAAATGGTTTTAAGATGAGGACTACCTGTAAACGTTTTTGTATATTGAAAATGGTTGGGTCTTATTTTTCTTTCCCTTTTATAGATTCATACGTAGTTGAAATACTAAAACCTTCACGAGTAGCCTGGCAAGAAGATCCCCGTTTTCAAGATAGTAGTTCTGAAGACGAAGAATCAGAAGCAGCTGAAGTACAAGATGTCGAAGAAAGGTAAATTATACTTTTGCAGTATTCATTGAACTTTAGATAGGATAGACCTCAAATTTAACATAGTGGGCCAGGTTGCACATTCTCTGAGATAATATGTCAAATACGTTCTTCCCAAATGAAGCCACTTATCTATATTGTGTACTGTAGTTTCATCAGCAGCAGGCAGAAAGCCTTAAACTAATGTTATGTGACTTTCTCTTCCCATTGCATTTCCCATCATTCCCCATGCTTTTCCTAAAGATTATGTGGGACTGCACAAGAAGGACACAGTGAGGCAGAAAATTCCAGTTTCTATGTGATCTTGTATCCCTCACAATGTGTGAATAAATTGCTAAAATATCCACCTTATAAATTCAATCAGCATTACCATCTGGGTCTTCCTCTTGAAAAAAAACCAATATGACTATTTCCTTATTATTTCTGAGAGTTAGACTTGCCCAGGTTCTTAATGCAAACAAATACAAGACACTAAATAATTTGTTCATGTAATTCATCTCCAAAATAAAAAGATATGCTTCTTCCTCAAAATGAATGTATTGCTCAGGTTTGAAAAAGTAGTCTTTTTCTCTTTGTTTTGGAAATTAATACTCTTGTTCCTTTTTCAGTTCTCCAGCTGAACCACATTCAAATATTAGATTTTTCTTCTTCTCACAAGATGATGACAGATTAAAAGGTGAAAATCAGAAAAAATTCTTCTTAATTATCTTAGTTAACCAGCATACTTATTCTTCAGATTTGTTTTTAAGATGTAAACATCAAATTTATTTCAAGTCAGAGTTCTCACTCTAAGTTTTGTTTGTCGTGCGTTCACAATACATAATTTCTGTTAAGTTTTTCTACATTTTTGGAGAGTTTTAACATTGGAGTTCAGATTGCTCTGGATAACGTTATCCATTTTAGTTGCTAAAGAAGTCTACCTTAAAAATTATTTAAATTGATGTCATTTTAAGAAACTTCTATCTGGAACAGTGGTTGCAATTGCCCAGAAAACCAATATTCTCTGATTTTTTAAAAAAATAGTTTTTAAAAGATCAAGTACAATCTTAGGAACATCCTATGGCTGACAGGACCTTATGGTTTTGTCTCTATCAGTGGAGCTGGAAGGGTAAAATTTTCTATCCACCTCTTCCAAATGTTTTTAAACTCTGCCTCAAAGAATTGGGGAAACTTTGAAGCAAATGTTGAGGGGAGAGAGGAATACAAGGACGAGGAGAAGAGGGCATCTTTCTCTTGTAAAAGAGAAATGTTCATGAAAATCTTAGGTTTCAAAATGTGTTAAATCTGATGGTCCATGAACTTTATATATGCAATTTTTTTTCTTGAGGCCATGAGGATGAAAGCATGCAATGCCAGTAGCAGGATAGAAAACACCATAATACCTTGAGCTACAAAGTACAATTGTTTCATCTAGGCAGTCCTTGAGCCCTTGGCTTACAGGGATCACTTAGTTCTTTCTTATTTACAGGGCAGGCAGATTACATTACAGATTACATTTTCTTTATGCCTTTTCTAGAAGGCCCCAAGCTATTCTACAAGGCTTCAGATCTTGATGAAGAAGCAGAGGATTGGGAAAGCAGGCGCCAAATATTGCTTGAGGTATGTGGCTAAAGATATTCTTGATATTTGGACTAGAGCTGTTTCTCACTTTTGATCCAGGATCCTAGTAAACCAAAATCACAATGAAAGATTCATTCAGTTTTCTCTCTATCATTTTTTGTATAATATTCCTTTATCAGTATGCGTCCTAGTTCCACTTTGAAATCCAGCTGGTAAGAAAGCTGCATTTTGCCCTTATTGAGTCATTGTGAGGCATTGCTGGAAGAGGAGGAAACTGATTTTCTACCTGCATTTTCTTGCTATTCGTTGTATTATGGACCTGTTTAGATGTTAAAAGCTGAAATGCTAATTAATTTTATAATACTGAATCTCTCATAACTATATTAAACTTTAAACATTTCCAGGATTGTCGGAAGAAGCATAAAGATGCAAGAAGGAAAGTTAAAACAAAACATTAACTATAACAGTTCTGCTAAAGAAGAAAGATTCAGAATGTTGAATATACTTGGACTGAATCCTGGGATAATGGAAACTGTTGAGAAAACACATCTACGAATAGCTTGGAAGTATAAATTAGTGCTGAATAAACAACTTTGTGAAATCAGAATAGATTTGTAGTTCTGATGTCTCTAATGCTTACATTTCCATTATACAGTATGAACATTTATTATTAAAATTCTAAATTATGATAGGCAACGATCTTCACAATTAGCATTTATACTTATTGCCTGTCTTTTATAATCCTCATGTCATATTTTGAAAGACAACATTTAGGATTTCATATGCATGTAGGTTCTTTGTCACAAAAAAGCAACATTTGATGGAGATTAATATAATTTGTTCTCTGATCTAACCAAGACTAGGTGTAAAACAAGCAAGGATCAATTGTAATGAAGTGCAATTAAGTGACAAAAAACAAGCAGTTTTTGTGTACAGAATTATATTTACCAAATATAGTCAGTTTAAATTGTACAAAAGTGTGTTATTATTATTTATGTTAATATAAGATTATTTTTGTACCTTGAAAGATTGAATCCAGGCCATTGGGAAAGGAGGAGTTAGAAAAGTTAGATTCTTGGAAGTTCCTTTCATAAGCATTTTGTAATGGTACACATAATACATCCCTGGATTATTTTAATATAATAAAAAGTTAGATGATTGAAAAATAAAACAGCAAATTGCATTGTTTCTATTTGAAAATGGTATTCAAAGTATAGAATATATAATTGATTGATCACCCTTATGGAATACAAATATTTCTGAATTTTAGTCTCTTTGTGGAATGTTGCTTTTCGGATAGACAATCATCAAGCATTGTAGGCTTCTTTTCCTCCAACTTGTAAAATAGATCTAAATTGCCATATTCTTGCTTTTCACTACAGTAATGATGATATGTTTAAAGACTTCACTAAAACAGCCATCTGAGGCACAAGAGAAGAAATATTGAAATTAAAGAATATTTGAAGAAACTGACTTGAAGGCTAAAGACTGAACTGCTTAAACTGCTTAGAAAAGAATGGGTTTTCTATCAATTAGGAATCCAGGAATCAATCTTTAAGTTTAAAACATAGGATTAATAAATGCTATATTTTCAGAAACCAAAGCTTATTGTATGATCTTTGGTGGACAATTCCTTGTTTTTCACCTTTTATTCTTAAAGTGTTAATTTCTCTCTCTGGGCGCAATCAATAATTGCTGCGAACTCCACGTAGGCATCAGGAAGGGCATTGGGCCAGTAAACGCTCCAGCTCCACTTAGTTGCTCCAACTCCATCCCAATGCAAGGGATTACAAGGTGGTTAAAAGAAAAAAAATTCTTAAATTTTAATCTGGACATAAATGCAACAGGCACACCACTCAATTAGTGGCATTCCACTTTCCCACCTCCCATCATAACTTCCAGTGTGCAGGGAGAATTTGAAAGAGGGAAGAAAGGAAAGGAAAGTAATTAGAGGGGCAGGAAAATGTAGGATTCCAGTTCTTTACTAGAACAATTACCATTCAGCTTGGTTTGTACACCAAATAATAATAATAGTAAAGTTGGAAGGGACCTTGGAGATCATCAAGTCCAACTCCTTGCTCAGGCAGGTAACCCTATACCGTTTCGGACAAATGGCTGTCCAGTTTCTTCTTAAAAACTTCCAATGTTGGAGCATTCACCGCTTCTGGAGGCAGGTTGTTCCATTGGTTAATTGTTCTGTCAGGAAGTTTCTCCTTAGTTCTGAGTTGCTTCTCTCCTTGATCAGTTTCCATCCATTGCTTCTTGTCTTGCCTTCAGGCGCCTTGGAGAATAGCTTGACTCCCTCTTCTTTGTGGCAGCCGCTGAGATATTGGAACACTGCTTATCATGACCCCTCTCGTCCTTCTCTTCGTTAAACTAGACATACCCAATTCCAGCAACCGTTCCTTATATGTTTTAGCCTCCAGTCCCCTAATCATCTTTGTTGCTCTTCTCTGTACTCTTTCTAGAGTCTCAACATCTTTTTTACATCGTGGTGACCAAAACTGGATGCAGTATTCCAAGTGTGGCCTTACCAAGGCATTGTAAAGTGATATTAATACTTCACGTGATCTTGATTCTATCCCTCTGTTAATGCAGCCTAGCACTGTGTTGGCTTTTTTGGCAGCTGCAGCACACTGCTGGCTCATATTTAAATGATTGTCCACTAGGACTCTGAGATCCCCCTCACAGTTACTACTATTGAGCAAGGTACCCCATATACTATAACTGTACATTTGGTTTTTCTTACCTAAATGTAGAACCTTACTTTTTTCACCATTGCATTTCATTTTGTTAGATAGCGCCCAGTGTTCAAATCTGTCCAAATCCTCCTGTATCTTAAGTCTGTCTTCTGGAATATTGGCTATTCCTGCTAGCTTGGTGTCGTCTGCAAATTTGATGAGTTCCCCATCTATCCCCTCGTCCAGATCGTTGATGAAGATGTTGAAGAACACTGAGCCCAGAATAGAGCCCTGGGGCACCCCACTACACACTTCCCTCCATGTAGATGTGGTTCCATTGAGGACCACACGCTGAGTACGGCTGGTCAGCCAGCCACGGATCCATCTGGTGGTGATGCTGTCTAACCCACATTTTTCTATCTTATCAAGTAGTAGGTTGTGATCTATTTTGTCAAATGCCTTACTGAAGTCCAAGTAAATTATATCCACAACATTCCTCTGGTCCACTAATTTTGTCACTTGGTCAAAGAATGCAATAAGATTTGTCTGGCATGATTTGTTTTTGACAAACCTGTGTTAGCTTTTAGTAATGACTTTGTTTGCCTGTAGGTGTTCACTGATTTGTTGTTTGATTATCTTTTCCAGAATCTTCCCAGGTATTGAAGTCAGGCTGATAGGTCTATAATTTCCTGGGTCCTTTTTTTTTTCCTTTTTTGAAAATGGGAACTACATCAGCTCTTTACCAGTCCTCTGGCACTTCCCCAGTGCTCCAGGATCTTTGAAAAATTTGGTTCAGTGGTTCTGAGATCACATCTGCCGGTTGCTTGAGAACCTTGGGGTGTATATAGTGACTAAACATAATATAGTGACTAAACCATAGCAACTGAGTTCAAACAACATGCTTTGTAAAATCAAACAAGCTTGTATGGCTTAGTACATTGCATTCAGTTATTTAGTACACAATGTTTACAATAAATCATGATTATATGATTTATTCAGGCTAAAATGCACCAGCCAGTATCTTAAGGCAGCTTATTTGATCTGGCCTAATTAAGTCTGTTAAAAAAAATGTAGATTATTTTTGTCTCCTTTAATATGTTATTTTTAAAGATCTTTGTCATGACTGATATTTTCCATGCTCATCTCTAATTATTTTTGATACAATCTGGCAACAAATTATTCTCTATTCCTTCAAGAATTATACAGAGACTAAAAGTATTAAATGGTTTCCCTTACAATATTTAATAATAATAAAGTTGGAAGGGATCTTGGAGATCATCTAGTCCAACCCCCTTCTCAGGCAGGAAACTCTGTACCATTTCAGACAAATGGCTATCCAGTCTCTTCTTTAAAACTTCCAGTGTTGGAGCATTCGCCGCTTCTGGATGCAGATTGTTCCACTGGTTAATTGTTCTAGTTAATTGTTCTAGTTAATTTTATCTACCTTACTGTATATATATGGAAATAATCCTGATGCAGTTCTGGATGATACAAGCCCTACCCAGGGAATAATTGGCTATTGCTTAGCTCAGAAAAAAAGGCACTGATATTTCTTACCCAAACTCTTTAGGATACAAGACAATATATCTTCATTTTTACTCTTACTTCAGGGCTGCTTGGTAAATTAGGTTGCAGATCATTGGATTGTGTAAACTTTTAAAAAATTGATAGTTTTTAATTAAAATTATAATATGGATCCATCTTGTTACTGTGCATGTTAGCTTGTTTTTATCTACAACCACAACTCAAGGGAAAAGGAAATATGATGGTACAAAAAGATGGAATTAAGAGCAAATTTTAGGATTTTATTTCTCCCAACCAGTAGGTAATGCTGAACAAGCTGGATTTGGGGGCTAATTCATTACCCAAAAGTAAAACTCTGGTTGGCTTTGCTAATGCAAAGATGGTTGTTTGTCTTTATTGCTGTTCTCTTTCTTGTCTGGAAATCCATGTGTTTTGCTAACGGCAAGAGACAAATCTAGTCACTGTCAATCATTGTTTTTAGAAATGGGAATCAACCATTGATTCATTGTCCTGGAATAGTAGATATGAATGCTTGCAACATCTACTCTGTTTGCTAATACATTCAACGGTTGCAAACCACAAACTTTACATGTTATGCAAACTCAAATAATGTGGTTAGTTTACAGTCCAGTCCCAACAGAATTGAGCAATCCATACTCAACTATAGCAAAGTATCAGGTGAATACACCAGTCTTTATTGTTTGACGCTGCTTGTAGAGTTGTTTTTTTTATATAGCCCTTCATCTTTCTAACCCACAGAAATGTTGGGAAAAATATGTAAAGGGACTTAGGACGGTGTCCATCAGTGTATCTGTCAGTTGGATAACTCCCCCAAACTGTAGCAGAAGTGACAGAATTTGGTGGTAGAGAAGAAACTGGCAGAAGAAACAGGGTTGCAAGGAAAATAAAATCCAAAATAGTAATAGTAGTTGGGCAGCAGCTCAAAATGTTGGAGACTGTGCCATTCTGCCAGGTGATTTATACATTTATACATAATTCAAAACAAGAAAACAATAAAAGTAAATAATAAAGATGGCAAGTATGACGAAACTGGATGGGAACCAAGAGAAAAAAACAAACCCCATAATCTAAAGGTAGCTTCAATCACCCTCGCCAAAGAGCTGGGCAAAAAGCCAGATCTTCGCAGCCATTTAAATCTCAAGGGGAAATCTTTCCAGAGGGCAGGTGTTGTTCTACTGAAGGCACACTTTTGGGGTCCTGAGATGGCCTTGTTGAACTGAAGGAATATGGAGTTCACCAACTCTGCCAGATTGGATCAGCTGGGCAGATACTATGGAAGACAGGTGGTTTAGTTACCAGGTCATATAGGTAACCTTATAGATAATGACCAGTAACACTATCATTCCCCAGTATCTAGTAGACAGACTGGGCCTTATAAGCTTAAACATTCCTTTGTGCAATTGGATTCTTGATTTCCTTACCAACAGGCTCCAATATGTGCGAGTTGGAACAAATACCTCTAATACCATTTTCTTGAGCACAAGTTCTCCTCAATCCGCTGCTGTTCACCCTGTTGACCCATGACTGTCGTGCTAGGTTTGCCACCAATCATATTGTGAAGTTCGCAGATGATACAACAGTAGTAGGCCTTATTCATGATGACAATGAGGGTGCTTACCGCAAGGAGGTTAAGGGGTAAACAGCCTAGTTTTAACTACCCAAAAAACCAAAGAGATCATTTTTGATTTCAGAAAAGGCAGGCACAACCACACTCCTCTGTGCATTAATGATTCACCTGTGGAGATGGTTACCAGCATCAAATTCCTGGGTGTGCAGTTAACAAGTAGGCTGGCTTGGTCACTCAACAGCAGGACACTGGTGAAGCAGGCACAGTAGTGCCTGCATTTTCTGCGTCGCATGAGAAAAGCACATCTTCCTTCTCCTATCCTTACCACTTTCTACAGGGGAATGATCGAGAGCATCCTGTCATGCAGCATCACAGTCTGGTTTGGAAGCATCACTGCTTCAGACAGGAAGGCAGTGCAGAGAGTGGTGAGGATGGCCAAAAAGATCATTGGCAGTTCCCTCCCTCCCATCCAGGACATAGCACAGAAGCGTTGCTTGAGCAGGATCCGTAAGATTATCTGGGATACTACACATCCTCTTCACAACCTGTTTTCCTTACTACCTTCTGG